GACCGACTCGCGCGCGCGCGCGTCGTCGCGCTCGAGTCCGCGCTCGCGCGCGATGAGACGTTCATCACTCGTCGAACCTCTCCACGTCGTCGTCATAAAAAATAAATCTAGAATATTCTATTCGTCCCCGTGCTCGGTGACGACGTACGCCGGTTTCGCGCCTCCAAGTTCCCCCCCTCCCAGTTCGGCGTCCTCCGCCTTCATGGCCGTCGGCGCGTCCCCCGCCGCCTCGGACGCGGCGCGGGATCTCGCGAAAGCGAAAGCGGCGGCGGTGCGCGCCGCGCTCGAGGCGGCGGCGGACTCGCCGACGGCCATGAAGGCGGAGGACGCCGAACTGGGAGGGGGGGAACTTGGAGGCGCGAAACCGGCGTACGTCGTCACCGAGCACGGGGACGAATAGAATATTCTAGATTTATTTTTTATGACGACGACGTGGAGAGGTTCGACGAGTGATGAACGTCTCCTCGCGCGCGAGCGCGGACTCGAGCGCGACGACGCGCGCGCGCGCGAGTCGGTCACAGCCGTCGGACGCGCGTCGCGCCTTCCTCCGTGACGCGCGCGTCGTCCGCGCGTCGCACGGGGAGGGAAATCGTCGATAACGTACGCGCGAAAAGGGCTGCGAAAAGCGAAATCGGGGGAACCAGTCAGCGCCGCGAATCGTTCGTGGCCTCTCGGATGAGCCGAGTCAGCAAGGCACGGCCAACGGGAAGCGCGTCTCGTCGTACGCGTACGTTTTTTTCGTACGGGCAAATAGTTGGGCAAAAAGTAGACCCTGCAGGAGCCGAGGAAATCGCGACGAAAAAGGACCGCGGAAGCTCCGAGGCCTGCAGCACTTTTCGTGCGTCGAACGCACCGCGCTCGAGCTCGCGCGCGCGCGCGTTCGGCTCGCGGGTAACGTTCGATACGCGCGTCGAAGGCTCGCGAGGTCTTCTGGAAACGCGATGCAGCGTTTACTCGAGCTCGCGCGCTTCGGCGGGGACGCGGACGCGGTCGGATCACGCGACGCGGGAGCCGCGCCCACCATGACGCTGAAGGCGAGCAGTTCAAACCGCGCACCCGCGCCCGCGCGCGCGCACGCGGGGGAAACGCTGAGGAAATCCGGGAGCGGATGCTGCATATCTGGTGAGTGTAACGTCTTTGCCATCAGCTCGTCGCGTTTCCGCGGGAGTATACCTCGCGATCGCGCCGCGGCGGCGCGCATCGACGAGGTCGCCGCGCACGAAAGATGCCCGTTCGGGGGAATAAATACACCCGTTTCGGTTTTTCGGGCGCGTTCGCGCGCGATTCACGCGCGCGCGAACGCGCGTCTCAGCCGCGGGGGCGCGCTCTCGCGATGGGATCTGGCGCGTGGCCGAGTTTTTTGGGGTTTCCGACGCCCCCGCGTCGCGACCACGCGCGATCGCGCGACCGTTCCGCGCGCAGAACCCGCGGACATCGCGCTAATTCTCCCCGATCGATCCTACCCTATCGTCGCAGATCCAACCGCTCCGCTGTACAGCAAGCTCGGGTCCAGGGAAGGGTTCGCGCACTGGACGACGTCGCACCTCCCGCCGAGGAAGAAGCTCGAGGGGAAGGGCGCGAACGGCGTGCGGTTCCCTCCGTACGGCGCGTTCGACGAGCACAAACGAGAGAGCGAGGGCGGGTTCGAGTCGCCGAGGAAGGAGCACCGCCGCGACGGCCCGGGCGCGCGGTTTTCGCGTCTCTTGTCGCGACTCCACGAGCGCGCGGCGGCGGGCGGGGGCGGCGGGGGTCCTAAACCTCCTCAGTCAAAATTCGCGCGCGCGGGCGCGTCGTTCGTCCGCGGCGTCGGCGGCGGCGCCAGCCGCATCGGATGCGCGGCTGGGAACGCGGCGAAGAGAGCGAGGGACGGGATTCGGAACATCATCTCGCCGTTGCAGATGCTGAAGATCGTCACCGTGCTCTTCTTGAACATGACGTGGAGCGTCACGACGGAGACGCTCTCGATTCCGCGCAACGTGTACGTCGTCGGGAAGCTTCTGTGGCCGTCGCTTCTCGCGCGGTTCGCCTCGGAGGTGGAGAGCCCGAAGAAGAAGCGGCGGCGCGAGCGCAGAGAGGCGCGGGAGCGCGCGATGCCGAAGATCAACCTCGAGAGAGCGAAGCAGCGGATCGTCGGGTTGGGGAAGAACAGCAAGCGTCTGAGCGGGTTTCTCGTCGGCGGCGTCCGGAGAAAGATTTTAGAGACCGGGGAGCACATGAACGATCACAGGAGGGTCGACTTCCTCGTGAAGGAGGGCCAGCGCTGCAACGCCGTGTGCGACAGCGAGGGCGCGACGGAGGCGTTTCGCGCCGCCGTCGCGATTCGACCGAACGATCACGAGCTCCTCGTGTCGCTCTCCAAGTGCCTCAGCGATCGCGTGTTCGAAGAGACCGTGTTCCACAACGCGCCGCTCGCGAGGGCGATCTCGAACGAGGCCGCGGACATCTCCAAGCGCGCGATTTCTATCCGGCCGAACCACGCGGAAGCGCACGTCTGCCTCGGCGCCGCGCTCGGGAGGCTGGCGATGTGGTGCGATAACCGCCAAAAGGTTGACCTCTCGCGGTCGATCAAGGAGTGCTGCGAAGAAGCGATTCGCCTGGATGCGTCCAACGATCTCGCGATGCACGTCCTCGCGCGGTTCCATCACCAGATGGCGAACCTAGGGAAGGTTGTCCGCGTGCTCGTGAGGGTCGTCTACGGCGGCGCGCTCGAGCCCGGGACGCTGGAGGAGGCGGAGGCGTTGTTTCGACGCGCGATCGCGATCAAGCCCGAGCGGCTGATTCACCGCGTCGAGCTCGGGAAGCTGTTGCTCGACCTCGGACGTGCGGAGGAGGCGAAAGCGGAGCTCGTCCTCGCCGTGGGTCTCCCGCGCGAGGATATCAACTCCGAGCACGAGCGCAGGGACGCGGTCGGGCTCTTGAAGAAGCACTGGGAGATCGAGGCGACGACGCCGGCGTTTGAGGATCCGCCGCCGACGCCGCCGCCGCGTCGGTGCCAGAAGAGCGGGGAGTTCGCGCGCGACGCGGACGGACACCTCGTGATTCGCTCGCCGGCAAAATCGCTGAGATTCGAGCAGTGAAAGGGGGGGCGTATTATTTTTTCCGCGCGCTCGATCATCACGACGAGCTGCGTGCGCGTAGTAGACCAGAGATGGCTCGCTGTTGTATCCAATATTCGCACTTGAGCACCATTTTTATCTTCGCAACAAACAGATCGTCGTCAGAGCACCAGCGCGCGTCCACGCGACGCGCATCGCGATGCGGCCCCACCGGGCGCTACTCGCCCTCGCTTCGATCGCCGCGGTCGTGGCGGCGTCGTGCCTATCCACCGCGGCCGCGTCCCCGGACCCCTCGTTGACCGACCTCCTCACGGGCGCGGACGAGACGTTCCGCGAGGAAGCGCTCGTGCGTCCGCTGCGCGACGGGCGCGTCGCGCTCGTCGCGTCGTTCGAGCAGACCGCGCCGCTCTCGAAGCTGCGCTTCGTGACGTTCCCGAACGAGATCGCCGCGATCGTGCGCGCGGCGCAGGTCGCGGACATGGAGCTGTCGTTCACGCGGGTGCGTCGCGGATCGTTCGCGCTCGCGCGCTTCCCGCGGGATCCCGTCCACCACCCCTCTGGCGTTCGTCGCTCATCGTCCCCACCACCTCCCTCGTCGCGCACACAGGGCCGGTGGGACTACCGCCGGTGGGGCCGCCCTCCCGTGGGCGCGAAGCCGATCGGCGCGGAGCTCATCGCGTCGTTCTTCGGCGACGACGACCCCGCGGAGCTCCGCGGGAGATGGGAAAACGTCACGACGATGTTAGGCGGCGTGTTTTGCGCGTCGCTGTCGCGGATGCAAGAGGCCGCGGAAGCGAAAACGGCACCGAAACTGGCGTTTCACCAATGGGACGGCGGTCCGGACGCGACCGCCAGCGCGCGCCCGATCACGCACGCGTCGTTGCCCGCGGAGGCGGTGTGCACGGAGAACTTATCCCCGTGGTTGAAGCTGTTGCCGTGCCGCGACGACGCGGGCGTCGCGGCGACGCTTCGGTCGCGCGCGGCGCTCTTCGGGTCCGGCTACGTCTCCTTCTCCGTCCGCGCGAGGGTCGTCGCGCGCGTCTCGACGAGGATATCGCCGGGAGAGTGGGGGATAGAGCTCACGCAGCGCCTCACGACCGTGCTCGAGCCGGGGTGGACGGAGGGGCCCGACGCGAGGGGCCCGGGCTGGACGCTGAGCGAGCTAACGCGCGTCGGCGAGACGCTCGGTCGCCCGGGCCTCCCTCCCGCGTGCGCCGCCGCGAATAGCAGCTCTTTGCACGTGGAGACGATATCGGACGCGGGCGCGCACGCCGCGGAGGCGCACGTCGTCGACGCGAACGAGAACGCGCGCGGTGGTGGTGGTGGTGATGGGGGGGACTTCGCGACGCCGGCGATCTCCGCGGCTCGATCCGGATCCGGCGACGGCGCGCCGACGACGAAGTCGTTCGACCTCGCGCGCGTCCGCGACGGGACGCGGTACGACGTGACCGTGCGCGCGATGGACGCGCCGAGCCTTCCGCGGGGCGACGCCTGGAGAGAGACGATGCGCGCGGCGAACACGCCGGAGTTGTACGCGGAGAGGATCATCACCGGGAGCGGGTACCACCGCGGAGGGATGACCGTCGAGCTCAGACGGCCTTCTCGTCGCGCGGCGGCGGGCGCCACGGCGACGCGAGCGAGAGTGCTTCAGGTGCTTCCGTGGTACGTCCGCGCGTTCGTGCACACGCTCGTCGTGGAGATCGACGGCGTGCCCGTCCCGCTGCCGAGCGGACGAAGACGAAGGGACGACGACGAGGACGACGACGCGCGCGGCGTCGTGGAGGGGCTGCGGTGGGTCCCCGCGATCGACCGCGCGCGACCGTCGTCGACGGAGCTTCAACTTTTGATCCCTTCAAACGCGACCGTCGCGCGCGTGAGCATCGGTTTCGAGAAGGCGTTTCTTCACACGGACGAGTTCCCCCCGGACGCGAACAGAGGGTTCGACATCCCCGCGGCGGTGATCACGTTGCCGCCGCCGAGGACGCGAACGCGGGTCCGCGGGAGCGACGGCGGCGACGGCGGCGACGGCGGCGAGCGGTCGCCGCTGCTCGACGCCGTCGCGCGGCGCGGGGAATGGAACGCCGCGGAGGTGATGTACACGGACGGGTCGTTGCTTCCGTGGCCTACGCCTGACTTCTCCATGCCGTTTAACATCATCACGATGACGTCCACGGTCATGGCGCTGTTATCCGGTCTGATGATGAGGGAGTTGACCGCGCGGCACGGGTGGAGGACGGGCGAACGCGCGAAGAACACGCGGCGGGCGCGAAGAGAACGCGAGGCGAAAAAAATGGCGAAGAGGGCGGCGCTCTTGAGACGATTGAGAGCGTGCGCGATATCGTGATCGATCGCGACGCGACGTACGTACTGTAGGTCACGAGATACGTTACAGCATAGATAATTTGATAATAGCAAGGTAGGTTAGACGGACTTCATTTTTTGAGGCGAGCTCACGGGGGACACCGCGCCGCCCGGACGCGGCGGCGGCACGCGATCGATCGGCTTCGGCGGGTTCGCCGCGTGCGCGTACGTGCTCCACGCGACGAGAACCAAACCGACGAGGTGCTGCACCTCCAGCGCGCCCACGGCTGCGCTCTGCACGATCCCGGTGAGAACTAACCCGCCGACGATGGCGAACCCTTTCGCGACGCCGCCGAGGTGCTTCGTGACTTGCCCGACGAAGATTCCCCCGAACGCGGAGGTGATCACCGGCACCCACGTGGCGCGCGTCCAGTTCGCGAATAAGACGTCAAAGTCCGCGACGCTCGTGATCCCCGCGGAGGAGATCAGGAACGGAATCGCCGCGAGCGCCATCTCGATCGTCATCGCGTTCGATGACCGACGGTGCGCTTGTAACGAGTACTGCGTCGCCGCGGACGCCACGCCAGACGTCGCGGACGCGGTGAGAACCGCGGCGACGCCAACCTTGAAGTTCGCCGCCCGCGCGGAAGCGGCCGCGGCGGCCGCCGCGGCCGCCGCCGCGCACTTCTTCTTCCCGAGCGTGCAGATCCCCCGCGAGACGCCGGTCTCGACGCCGGTCTCGTCCATCGAGAGCATCACCCCGGCGAGGAGTAAGCCCCCGAGCGCGACGACTTGCGTGAAGCTCTGGCGGACGCCGAAGAACAAGTACACGCACAACGCCGTGGACACGAGCTTCGTTTGGTTCAGGCAGTTGAACGTCACCGAGTCCATGGACCCGTACGCGGTCTGCAGCAGGAAGTTTTGGCCCGCGTACACGACCGCGGGGACGACGGACAGGAGCCCGACCTTCGGGGTCCAGTTTTTAAAGTTCGCCTTCAAGCTCCCTTCGCCGATCATGATGACCAACGCGATCACGATCTTGACGCACTCGCACGCGAAAACGAGGGAAACTTTGTTCACGTTCTCCGGGATGAAGCTCTTGATGAGGAACGGCTGCGCGGCGTACTGCAGCGCGAGGAGGACGCAGAAGAACACCCCGACTTGCGGGTTCACCGAGGAGAATCCTTTCACGACGCCGCCCTCCGCGGCGAGCTCGGACGGCGCGGGGCCGTACCGCGCAACCTTCATCGCGACCTCGTCGAAAGACACGGACAACTCCGTGGCCATGAACGCGATCGCGTCGAGGAACGTGCCGTCCTCCCACTTGAGGAGTTTCCGCGCTTTCCTAAACTTCGGGCCTTGTGCTTTGACGAACATCAGATCCGCCGCGGGGGCGTCTACGGCGGTCGTGAGGAGGCCGCACTCGGCGACTAACAAAGCCCACTGCTCCGCCGTCATCCCCTCCTGCGGCGTCCCCGTGATCCCGCCCTTCGCGTCCGCGAACGAGTCGAACGTGTCTTTCAATTCCTTCGCGCGTGGCGTCGTCGCGAACCCGTCCGGGACGGGCATCACCGGCTTCAAAATCTTCACCCGCGCCTTGATCTCCCCGGTCCTCGAAACCAGCTGCTTGAACTCGTCGAAGCTCAAATCCCCGTTCCCGTCCGTGTCGAACTCCTCGAACAAGTTCCTCGCGGTCTGGACGTCGATCCGCGCCATCGCGCCCATGTCCACGAGCGCGGCGCCGGTCTCGACGAGGTCTAAGGTCCCGTTCGAATTCGTGTCGTATCGCTCGAACATCTCCCGCATGCGCCTCTCGTCGAACTCGTCTTTTAAACCCTTGCGCTCGCTCTGCACCGCAGCCTCGGACTTGAGTTTGGACTTCTTCGGTCGCAGCGTCGGCGACCCGATCGGCGCGAAGTCCGCGACGCGCGCGGCGACGAGACCGAACGACACGCGGTGCTCCGTCGCGACGAGCGCGAGCGCCTTTAAGAACGTGCCGTCGTCCCACGACAGCGTCCTCTTCCGCTTCTTCGCGTGCGCGCACGCGGTCGCGTAGATGATGTCCGCGGTCGTCGCGTCTACGGCGTCCGTGAGGAGGTTGCACTCCTTCAGCAGTTTCACCCAGTCCTGCGACCCGAGCTCGTCCTGATGCACGTGGGACCCGCCACAGAATCCGAGGAACGCGGACTTCACGTCCAGGGAGCCGTCCCACTTCTGGTACCCGAACGGCACGTCCACCACCGGGTTATCGCGCTTGACCTTTCGCATCTTCTCCATCTTCGCGACGAGGATCTTGAACTCTTCCTCGTCCATCACGCCGTCGCCGTTCGTGTCGAACTTGTCGAAGATGTCCGCCGCGGCGCTGGGGGGCACCTTCTTCAGCGCGCCGAGATCCGCGAGCGCGAATTGCACCTCGGTGCGATCGAGCGCGCCGCTCTTGTCGACGTCGTAGCGCTGGAACATCTCCCCTGGGGTCTCGGGCATGCTGAAGATGCCCATGGTGGCGCGCGCGCGCGGGGGCGGGGGTCGAGCCGCGTCTTGTTGAATGGTATCAGTGGTTCCACTATTCTGTGAATTCGGTTTGGGCGCAACACTAACGTCCGACTTTTTTTCACCCATATCTCGGTTTCAAGTCGTGACCGCGATACCGATCAAAATCGACCCCTGCCCTGCGCGTCGCGACTCAAGCCGCGTTGATCTCTCCCCCGAGGTCTTTCTTTTCCAAGGCGTGACCATCGAACGCGTTCGCGCGCTCGGCTCGTCACACCGAGGCGCGTCTCCACACGCACGCGGACGGACGTCTCATCGCGTCTGAAGGAACGCGCGTCCGGTCTTCCCGCGTCGTCGATCGGGTGAGCACGCGCCCGCGCTCTCGACCTTCACGCCGAGCTCGCGGTCTGAAAACAGAAGCGCGCGCGCGAGCGGCCAACGTATCGTCGTCGCGCGAGCGAGCGAGCATGGCGTCGGCTTCCTCCGCGCTTCCGCGCCGCATAATCAAGGTGAGCGCTCGGTCAGGCCTCAGAAGACGCGACAATCGCGTTTTCAGACGCGCGCGCGACGCGCGCGCGCGCGATCTCTCCCCCCACCCCCCGACCCCCCCGCGCCGGAAAAGACCCTCGCCTCGTTCGCCTCCCGAACGCGTCTCGGCGCGGGATATTATCGCGACGGCGATCGATCCGATCCGATCCGATCCGTCCCTCGACGCGCGCGCTGACCTTCACCTCCCCTCCCCCCGTCCACCCCCGCGGCCGACCGAACGCGCCTCACCGCGAACGACAGGAGACCCAGCGCCTCCTGAGCGAGCCCGCGCCCGGGATCAGCGCGCAGCCGCAGGAGGACAACCTGAGGCACTTCAGCGTCATGATCCGCGGCCCGCGAGACTCCCCGTACGAGGGCGGCGTCTTCGAGCTCGAGCTGTTCCTCCCGGAGGAGTACCCGATGGCCGCGCCGAAGGTGCGGTTCCTGACGAAGATCTACCACCCGAACATAGACAACCTGGGGCGGATCTGTCTGGACATCCTGAAGGATAAGTGGTCGCCCGCGTTGCAGATACGAACGGTGTTGTTGTCCATTCAAGCGCTGCTGAGCGCGCCGAACCCGGACGACCCGCTCTCGGAGAAGGTCGCGAACGCGTGGAAGGTGGACGAGGTCACCGCGCTGAAGACGGCGAAGGAGTGGACGCAGAAGTTTGCGATGAAGGGGAACTGACTGATGATGAGATGAGGGGCATAGACGCATAGCACACGCAACCCGACGATCTATAACTATCGCGATGACGACATAAAAATCGGTTCTCGTTTTCGCTCGACGTCACGCCGCCTCCTCGGCGTCGTCCGCGGCTCGCATCTCGGCTATGATCCGCGCCTTTTCCTGCGCCCTTCGCATCTTATCCAGGACGACGCTCTCGTAGTCCTTGTTCGCCGTCTGTCCGTGACTCCCGGCGACCGCGTCGAACGAACCGAACGGCGCGGGGGCGCCGCCGCCGAAGCTCGCCTTCTTCGCGCCGCCGCCCGGGAACAACGCGCCGCCGGCGACGCCCGCGCTCGCGTTAAACGCGACGCCCCCGCCCCCACTGAACGACGGCGGCGGCGCAGGCGGCGGTCTCGGCTTCTCCGCCGCCGCCGCCGCCGTCGTCTTCGCCGTCGCCGCCGCGTCTATGTCTACGTCCTCGCCAGCCGGGGGTATCGCGGCGCGGACCGCGAGCAACGGGTTCGAAGGGTCGCCGCACGCCGCGCTCGCCGCGCGCTTCGCGCCCTCTCGCGCGGAAAAAACCACGAGCGCGCTGCCCTTCTTCTTCTTCCCGTCTCGTATGACGACGTCCTCGACGTCCCCGAACGCGCTGAAGATGCTCCTCAGCTTCGCGACCGGGTACTCGACGCCGCCGCCGGCGTCTTTCCTCCACACGACTTTCAGCGCGCGGTACAAGTGCTCCGGCACCGCGTGTGTCGCGCCGTTCGCGTTCGCGCCGTCGCCGGCGTCCTGGGTGGGTCCCGCGACGCTGCTCTCTCTGTCGTACGCCTTCTTCCTCGTCGCGAAGTCCCGTCGCAACCGCGCGAGCTCGGCTTGGAGCTTCTCTTTCGCCTCCTCCTCCTCGGTCTTCCCTCGCTCCGCCACGCGTTCGCGTCGCGCCAGCTCCTCGCGCATTTTCCTCCGCTTCGCATCCTGCGCGTCGTCGCGATCTCGCCTCGCGGCTTTCACTTTCGCCAAGTTCTCGAGCGCTTTCCTAGCCTCGGGATCTAACAAGATGTCGTACGCCTTCTGAAGCGCGTCGAACTCCCTCTGCGCGCGCTCGCGCTCGTGACTCGGTCGCTTGTCGGGATGCACGCTCAGCGCTCGCTTCCTGTACGCTCTCTTGATCTCCGCGGTCGCGAGATCTGGCCTGGGGTCGAGGCCCAGGAGCTTGTACGGGTCGTCCGCGCTGTGGTCCGTCATCGCGAGCGGGGTCTCGCGACCGTGGACGCGGACGCGACGCGACGCGGGGGGTTCGACGCCGACCGACCCTCCTCGCGGCGCCGCCGCGGTCCTCGGCGCCGCGCGAACTGCGCGAGAAGAATCGAAGGCGGTTCTCTCGGTGCCGAGAAGAGGCACGAGTACGTGTACGTGTACGCCGTGCCTGACTGCGCGTCATACGATCTCGCCGACCGAATCTTTGGCGAGCGATGAGGTGGCACGTGGCGCTTCTTCTCGCGTCGTCGTTTCACGAGCCCGCGCCCGCGCGCGTCTCGCCGCACTCCGCACCGCGCGTACTCGTCACACGCCCACGCGACTCACGATGTCGGCGATCGCCTCGACCGTCGCGCTCGGCGCCTCCGCGCGCCGCGCGGCCGCGCCCGCGAAGCGCGGAGATCTCGCGGGCAAGCGCGCGGCCACCATCGGCGATAGGCTCGCCAAGGCGACCGAGGGCATTCCCAAGCCGAACCTCCCTTCCCTGCCCAAGGTGAACCTCCCGTCCGCGCCGAAGATGCCGTCCATCGGCGGCGGCAAAGAAGCGTCCGAAGGGCCGGGGTACACCCCCGCGCGCGACGGCGATACGCTGTACGTCGGTCAGGGCAAGTACATCAAAGACGATAAAGCCGGGATCGTGTCCAAGACGGGGAGGGACTCGCTGTACGTCGGCGGGTTCGCCGGAGGCGAGGAAGGCCTCCAGAATTACCGCGACGTGCTGAAGGAAGACCCGGGCGCGATCGCGGTCGCGAAGAAGTCCGGGAAGAAGCCGCGAAGGGAATCCAAAGAGGTGGACCTCTCGAAAGACTTTGGCGCGTGCGCGGGCGGGTTCCCCGGCGGCGAGGTCGGCCTGAAAGCGTTCAACGCCACCGGCGTCGTCGCGACGCGGTCGGCCCCGCCCACCATCGGGTGGGGCCCGCCCGTGCTCCTCCTCCTCGCCATCGGCGGGACGGGGTACTACCTCAACGGCGGCGATATGAGCGTCGAGGGCGTCCAATCCTCGCTCAGCGTCGAGTCGCTCGACGCGCGGCTCAGCGCGGCGTCGTCCCTCGCGTCCGGGGCGAAGGGCACGCTCGACGCGAACCTCGCGCCGGAGCAGGAGGCTGTCCTCGGGGAGGTTGTCCTCGGCGGGCTCGGCGTGATCGTCGCCCTCTCGCTGGTGAAGAGCGCGGCGAAGAAGGCGGCGGAGAGCGCGGGGGACGTCGCAAAGGTCGCCTTGCTCGGCGCCGCGACCGCGGGCGTCGCGGGGAAGATCTTGAACATTTGGTGATGTGATGGAGGACTGTGTGCGCGCGTACTGTAGACGAACGACGATGAGAATACTCACCCTTATCCAACCGACGAGACGAAGGACGCTCGGTCGCGCTCGCGCGCGCCGCGGCGCCCCAGCGACTTTTCGGCAATCGTACCGCGAGCGATCAAGCCATGTTTCAAAATTCCGGTTGTAGCTTTGAAAGCAGCCCTTTGAAACCTCGGGTCCTGCTTTCGGAGTTCCCGATGAAATTGTCGCCGCTCGACACGACGTTCGTCCTCCGCTCGCGCTCTCGTCCTGTCAGTCTCGCGGCGCGAACGGCGGCACGGCGGCGCGCGCGGGAAGGAAGGAGAGGGCGAGAGTCGCGGTTCTTCCTTCGAGCGCGATGCCTCCTAAGAAGAAGCAGTCGCACATAAACCGCATGGCGGCGCAGGTGCGCTGCCGCGTCGCGTCTCCCTCCTCGACGCCGCCACGCGACGCTCCGCCGACATTCGTCGCGTTCGTCGTAGTCCGCGCCCCGTCCCCGTCCCCGCCCCTCTCCATCCGCATCCTCTGACGCCCTTCCTCTCCGCCCGCCGACGCCAGATGCAACGCCGCAAAGACGGGGACATGACCCACGGCGTCCGCGAGGCTGCGAAGTTCACGAACGACGCGGACGGCCAGATCGACGCGAGGCAAGGGATGGCGACGACGGTCTTCACCGTGGAGTCGCTCGGCCTGAAGTCCACGCACGGACACTCCAACGCGAAGCGACGAGGCAAGGGCAAGGGCGGGACGTACAAGCGCGCGGCGACGACCGTGCTCGCGGGCGAGGCGACGTACGACGTCGAGCGACGCGTGCGCGACGCGCGACGCGCGATCGGCGTCCCCCCCGCGGCGCTCTCGCCGCTCTCGCCGGCGACCTTCGACCTGACGCGCGCCGCCGTGCGCCTGATGCCTAATCGCCCGAAGTGGGACTACGAGCTCAAGCGCGGGCGCCTGCACTCGCGCGAGAGGAAAGCGTTCGTTCGATGGATCGCGAGCGTGAAGCAGTCGCTCATCGACAGCGGCGCCGGGCACGCGCCGGCGTTTGAGCAAAACATCGAGGTCTGGCGCCAGCTGTGGCGCGTCCTCGAACGCGCCGACGTCGCCGTCCTCGTCGTGGACGCGCGGCACCCGATGCTGCACATCCCTCCCGCGCTGTACGCGCACGTCGCGCGGCGGCTGCGGAAGCCGCTCGTGCTCGTGTTGAACAAAGTAGACGCGGTCCCGCGTCGCGCTGCGGAGCGATGGGCCGCGCACCTCCTCGCGGCGCTCCCGGGCGTGGACGACGTGATCGGGTTCACGTCCAAGGACGGCGGCGGCGGCGCGGGCGGGCAGCGGCCAGTGAAGAGGAGGATCGGCGTTCCCGCGTTGGGGGCGAGGGGGGCTGGGGCGGAGGCCGTGACCGCGAGGGAGAGGGTCGCGCGCGCGATGGAGATTGAACGAGGGGGGCTCGCGTTCGCGGGGGGGTCGGATTCCGAGTCGGGTTCCGAGTCGGAGGAGGAGGGGGGCGCGCGCGCGTCCGCGTCGGGGTCTGAGGGGGAGGAGAGCGACGACGAAGCCGTTTCTGGGGGATTGTTTCGGTTGAGAATCGGCCACGCCGCGCTGCTGAAGGCGTGCAGAGAGCTCGCGGCGAACGGGAAACGGAACGGCGCGGACGCGAGAACCGCGGCGGAGGAAGCCGCCGCCGCCGCCGCGGAGGAAGCCGCGGAGGAGCTCGAGGCGAAAGCGTCCGTCGTCAAGAACGACGACGAGGACGACGACGAGGACGACGAAGCCACCGCCGCGGCGCTTCAAGCGGAGGCGGAGGAGGCTGCGAAAGCGAAAGAGAACCGCGTCATGATCGGCCTCGTCGGGCATCCGAACGTCGGGAAGTCGTCCATGGTGAATTACATCCTCGGAAGGAAAGCGGTGAGCGTGAAGGCGACGCCGGGGCACACGAAGACGTTGCAGACGCTCATTCTGGACGACAAGACGTGCCTGTGCGACTCCCCAGGTTTAGTCTTTCCGCGCCTGGACGTCGGCCTCGCGGAACAAATCGTCGGCGGGTTAGTACCGCTGCCGATCGTTCGCGAGCCGTACAGCGCGATTCGGTGGCTCGCGGAGCTCCGAAACGCTGGCGAGGCGCGGTGGACCGCGACGGCGAACGACGGGCGCGCATCACGCCAGGACAACCTCATGGCGAGCGCGTTAGCGATGCCGCTGCACAAGGCGCTGAAAATCCCCGCGATGACGGAGTACGACCCGGAAGTGCTCGAGCTCGTCGGGCACGAGGACTTGTTCGACGCCGCGTTGCCGTGGTCGCCGATGTCGCTGTGTCACCAGTACGGGAAACTGAGAGGGTTTAGCCGCGGTGGGGCGCCGGACGAAGCCGCGGCGGGGCACGCGATTTTGTCGCTCGTATTGGATGGGCGGCTGCCGTACGCGACGCCGCCGCCGGAGGGCGAGCCCGTGATCGGCGTGCACATCGGGGCTGACGGCCTGCCCGTCGCGGCCGCGGAGCGCGCCGGTTCGGTCCCCGCCGTCGCGGACGCCGTCGACGACGAGGACGAGGACGAGGAAGACGAAGACGACGAGGACGACGACGACGAGGACGGCGCGGCGACCAACCCGTTCCGGTTGCTCGGAATCGACGCGGAGGGCGAGTCGCAGTACGGCACCGGGGACATCGACGCGGAGAACGGCGTCGGGCGGTTCAAGGTGAAAGACAAGAGCAAAGGCGCGGCGGCGAGTTTTTTCGGGAGAGGCGGCGGCGGCGACGGCGGGTCCGTGTTCTTATCCGAGGCTGACCTCAAAGAGAGCAAGAAGGGCAAGCGCGAGAAAAAAGGTCGATAGATACGACGCTCACGACATAATACACAGTGATAGATTGATAACGCCCGATGAAACGAAACGAAGTCACCACGGCCCGCCCCTTTCGTAGGTGTAGCAGTCAGCGCTCGGGGCTTTCCCCTTGTTCAAAACGCCGCGGATGGACGCCTTATCGTCGTCGTCGAGCTCGAACGCAAACATCGCGCGGTGATCGTCCACGTGGTTCGCGTTCCTCGCGCCCAAGATGATCGCCGGCGTGACGTCGTTCGAGTCCAGAACCCACCGCGACGCGACGTTCGCGATCGTCGCGCCGCCGTGCTTATCCCCGACTCTTCTCAACTCCGCTAGCAGCCGCTGATACCACGCGTACCCACCCGCGTATCCGAGCACGGACGCGTACTTCCGCTTGCTCGACGTGTCTAACACGACGTCCTCGCCGGGAAAGTCGAGGAACTTGTCGGACAAGAGACCACCGGCGACGACGCCGTACGGCAGGAGCGCGATCCCGTTTTTCGCGCAGTACGGCACCATCTCGCGCTCCGGGCGGCGGTCGAGGAGGGAGAATTGAATCTGGTTGGACGCGATCTCCGCGCCGGCGTCGACCATCTCCGCCACGCGCTTCGTGTCGAAGTTCGTGAGACCGACCGCGCCGATGCGCCCCGCGGCTTTCGCGTCCGTCAAAAACAGCGCCGCGTCGACGTAGTGCTTCGCGTTGTACTCGTTCCAATACATCTGCACCAAGTCGAGCTTGTTCGTTCCCAGCCGGCGGCACGGCAGGTCGAGCTTTTGGTTCACCCAGTCCGACGTCATGTTCTGCTGCTCTCTGCCGACGCAGCACAGCTTGGTGTAGATGTTCACGTCCTCGCGCTTGATCGTCCCTGACTTTAACGCCTCGCCGATGATGAGCTCGGAAGGGCCGTACCCGCACGCCTCCGGGCCGGTGTCGAACGTGTTGATTCCGGCGCGCGCGAACGCGGCGAAGTCCTCCACCGCCGCGGCGCCGGAGGTTCGATCCGTGGCCTGGTCGCCGCGGTGCCCGCCGCCGAGCTGCCAGCAGCCTTTGATGACGCGAGACGGCGTCGACGTGGAGAACTTCAGCGGGCTCGCGGCCGCGGGGACCTTCGCGGGGATGGAGCCCGCGGTCTCCATCGCGGCGAACGCGGCGGGGACCGCGAACGGCGCGCTCGCGCGGTCGAGAGGGATCGCCGCCGCGAGCGCCGCGGTCGCCGCGAAGACGTCGCGGCGCGAGAGCTCCGCGGGCGCGGCGGGGGGCTCTTCGTTGGACGCTTTGACGACGACGGCGTGGCCGCGGCGCGCGGCGCGCGGCGGCTTACGCGAGCGTCGCAGCGCGCGTCCCTCCGTCGTCGTCGTCGACGACGTCGCCGTCGGCGGTGCCGTAAAACTCGACATCGATCGCGCGATCGTGGATTCGGCGACGGCGCGGCGCGTGGGGAGAGCGGGGACGCGGTTTCCGCGAAGTAGATCACGGGAGGGATCGACGACGGCGACGACGAACCTCTGCAATTCGCGCGCTTCGGGTGCGTGCGCGCGCGCGTGTGGACAGAGCCCGGCGTGGGCGATGGATAAACGCCGGAAAAGCGCCCGCCGAGCGTGACGTGGCGGGGCGTGGTTTTTTTGCACTGCAGAAGAGTGCAGAGCCGTTGGACGAGCCGACGAGGACGACGCCGTTCCGAGAGCGACCGCGCCCGCGGCGACGCGCTCGCGAGGCACACCGAGGCGCGCTTCGAGCGACGAGCGCACTCCTCGCAGTTCACACTCGCGCGCGGAGAGCGGATACGCCGCTTTCTCGCGTAGGCGCGGCGCGGAGGTACGCGACGCGCGAGCTGGCGATCGCGACGCCCCGGGGTGACATCATTTCGTCCGTTGTCGCGGCACATTCGGCACATTCATTCCTCGTTGACCGAGGAGCGACCGCGCGACCTCCCCATCCGTCGACCCTTCCGCCGCGATGGAGGGCACGCACGGCGGCGGCGGCGGCGGCGGCGGCGGCGGCACTAAGAAAGGCAGCATGATGTCCTCGACGAAGCGCAAGGAGCCCCCCGGCGGCGGCTCGAAGCAGCTCTCGACGAAGAGCTGGACCGTCCGCCCGGTCGTCCCGAAGCGCGAGTCGATTCCGTCCACGGTGCAGCCAACGCAGGAAGAAGACCTCCCCGCGCTGTGGAGCACGAACACGTGGGGGGACGTCCGTCACAGGAAAGACCCGGTCGTGGACAGGAACGCGAAACCCAAGCCGGGGAGCTCCTCCATCACGCTCCCCGCGGCTGGGGAAAAACGCAAAAAAGACATCAAGACGATCATCGCGGAGAAGGAGTCTCTGCTGAAGAAGAAGCTCATCGCGTTCGCGTCGTTCAACCAGACCGAGCGCGACCTCCTGACGCAAGCGTTCGATCGCGTGTCCATCGACCACGGCGGCGTCCCCGGGCTCGCGACGAGGCAGGAGTTGGCGGACGTGTTCAATCGACTCGGCGTCAAGCTGACCCCGCGCGAGACGGACGCGTTGTTTAAGAAATACGGCGAGGACCGCACCGGACGGATGCCGACGAGCCTCTTCACGACCGCGGTGTTGGAGTCCCGGAATAGGATCATCGCGATGGAGGAACGCAGGGTCGGGGCGTACAAAGCCGGAGACCGGGAAGAGTACGGCTTCGCCGGGCGGATCAAATATTTCCCGTGCCGAAAAGGCGTCTACGCGCCGACGGAATGGGACCCCGCGCTCGCCGCGCGAAGCGCGAAGCCGCCGAAACCGGGGCTGTCGCTCGAGTTCGTGTACGGCTACGGCGGACTCACGAACACGGCGAACAACTTAAACTACAACAGCTGCGACCACGCGGTGTACTACACCGCGGCCGTAGGGATCGTGTTCGATCGACACAGTCACACGCAGCACTTTTTCCACGGCCACGACGATGACATCAAATGCATCGCGATGCATCCGAACATGCACTTCTTCGCGACCGGGCAGGTCGCGTCCACGAGCGGGCCGCCGATCGTGTGCATCTGGGACTCGCGAGTGAACACGGACGGATCGTTACGAGGCATAGTCGCGCAGCTGCCGTTTCCGAACATGCCATCCGTGATCGGCCTCGCGTTTTCGCAATGCGGCACGCGCCTCGTCGTCATCACCGGCGACGTCGACCACAGCGTGCACGTGTTCGATTGGAAGAAAGCGGACGCCGCGATGGGCGGCTTGGGCGAGCTTCCGCCCGCGGACGCGCCGGAGATGGAAGAGGGCACCTCCCCTGGGCTGATAACCATCGGGAAGGGCGGGAAAGGGGACTCGTTCCCGCACGTGTACGGCGCGGTGTGGAACCCGTTTGGGTCGCTCGTGGACGACCCGGATAGTAAAAACCCGCGGAACGAGTGGGCGGAGTTCGTCACCTTTGGTTCGAAGCACATCAAGCTGTGGCGGTGGCACAAGAGCGAGGTCGACGGCAGGGAGTACTACGGCAGGAAGGGCGGCCCCGGGCAGGGCGATCCCGGGAGGTTCGCGCCGGTGACGTCCCCAGTGGACGTCATGTCCGCGGCGTGGCTGCCGCCGAGCGGTCACGACAAGACCGGGTGCGTGCTCGTCGCGGGCACGAGATTAGGGTCGATTCTGTTGTTCACGTCCACGGTCGGTAAGGGGCTTCACGCGACGCGATTGCTTCAGGCGCACGGTCGCGGGCCGTTGATCCCCGCGCTGAGCGGCGGCGACCTCGTCGCGAGCGGCGTCCGGTGCGTCGAACTCAGGGCGGATAAAGAAACCGTCGTCAGCGGCGGCGGCGACGGCGCGGTGCTTTGGTGGTCCGCCGCGACGCTCGCGGCGGCGGCGCGGTCCAAGTCCGTCCCGTGCGCGCCGTACGAGCGGAAAGTGCTCTCCGGGGACGATAACAAGAACCCCGCCGCGGTGAGAGGGATGTCGTGTCACCGGTTCTCGTCCGACGTCTTGTGCGGGACGTACCGGTGCGAGATTTGGGAGATTGACGACGAGGACGGTCCGTACGTCTTGATGTACGGTCACAGCGGAGACGTCCGCGGGCTCGCGGTGCACCCGAAAGAGAAGTCCGTCTTCGCGACCGCGTCCGAGGCTGGGCGGTTATACATCTGGAACGCGAAGTCGAGGTTGTTGAAGGCGAAGTGTAACGTCATGCACCCGTGCGTGGGCGCGGGGTTCTCCCCCGACGGGTTGCACATCGCCGTGGGGTGCAAAGACGGGACGCTCGTCATCATCGACTATTACAACCTCATGGCGGGGGACTTTCAGCAAGTCGTCAAGAGGAAGGACGGGACCCGGTGCGAGTTTAACCACTGCAACGAAGCGATCGACGAGGTGAAGTACTCCCCCGACGGGAAGCTCCTCGCCGCGGGGTCGCACGATAATTTCATCGACATATACGACGTCACCGGAGACGCGGTACCCGGTCGGTCAACAGGGGTGAAGTACCACCGTCTGCATCGCTTGCGCGGGCACAGCTCGTACATCACGCACATGGACTGGTCCGCGTTCGACCCGAAGTTCCCGGACCGGCGTATTCTGCAGAGCACGTGCGGCGCGTACGAGCTCTTGTACTACGACGGAAACACCGGGCAACAAGTCCGGCACAGCATGCGCGACGAGCGGTGGCACACGCAGACGTGCACGCTCGGGTTTAGCGTCATGGGCATCTGGCCAAAGTCGAAGCAAGGCGAACGCGCCGCGGACGGGACGGACATCAACGCGTGCGATCGCGGGCCGTCCCCCGGGGGGAAACCGAGCGACGGCGAGCTCCTCGCGGTCGTGGACGACAACGGCAAGGTGAAGTTGTTCAACTGGCCGTGCGTGATTCAGCACGCGCCGTTTCGACGGATGGAGTGGAAGCCCGGGAAAGGGGGACGGAAACCGACCGGGGACTGCGTCGGGTACGTCGGGCACTCCTCGCACGTCGTGAACGTGCGCTTCGCGGGCGGAGGGCGGAACGTCGTCACCGTCGGCGGGCACGACCGCGCGGTGTTCCAGTGGAAAGTCGACGCCGAGGCGAAAGAACAGGTCGGGACGAATAAGCGTCGGATCGAGCCGAAGCCGTACATCATGGACCCGCCGAAGATTAAAGAGCCTCACGCGAGGGTCGCGGACTTCGCGGACGCGCCGGACGACATGGACACGGACGCGTCCGGGAAGCGGAAGGAGATTTGCGAGTACCTCGTGACCATCGTGACCGGGAACGCGAAAGGCTCCGGGACGACGTCGAACGTGTCCTTCGAAGGCCACGGCGTCGACGAACAAGGCGCGCCGACGCGTATTAAGGAGATGGCGCTGGATAACTCCCCGGATAACTTCAAGAGAGGCGCGACGGACGTGTTTAAGTTCCGAGGCCCGGACCTCGTGAAGCTGCACCACGTCAAAATACAGACGGACTACACCGGGCAGAACCCGAGCTGGTTGCTGCAGTCTGTGAGCGTGTTAAACGTCACGAAGGGTTGGGAACACGCGATGTTCCCCGCGGAGGTGTGGCTGGACCGACAGAAGGGCGGCGAGACGGTGGTGAACTTGTACCCCACCGCGGAGGCGGCGGCGAACGCGCGAGGGAAGAAAGCGCACGAGGAGATCACGTACGTCGTCGAAGTGAAGACCGCGGACGTTAAGGGCGCGGGGACGGACAGCAACGTGTGGATATCCCTCGTCGGCGAAGGCGGACGCGGGTCAAACAAAAAACTCCCCCTCGACAGCGGCCGGAACAACTTCGAGCGAAAGTCCGTGGACACGTTCGAAGTGAAAGCGTCCGTGGGGACGAAGATCGAGCGCGTCAGAATCGGTCACGACAACGCCGGGATCGGATCGTCGTGGTGCTTGGGCGACGTCAGCGTCACCCCCGCCGGGTGCGAAACGATTCGATTCGACGTGCCCTTCGAGGGCGTCTGGCTCGAGGAGGGCGGCGACGTCGGGCTCGCCGTGGACGTCTTCCCGTTCGGCGCGGACGGCAAAGTCACGCGGAAGACTATCAACTACAAGGTCATGGTGCACACGTCGGATATACGCTACGCGGGCACGGACGCGACGGTGCACATCGAGATGTTCGGCACGAAAGGATCGAGCGGGAAGCGGAAGCTCGAGACGTCGCGGGATAATTTCGAAAGGAACAAGTGGGACACGTTCTTCCTGGAGATGCCCGAGCTCGGCGCGCTGACGTCGATTAACATCGGGCACGACAACGCCGGCGCTGGCGCGGCGTGGCACCTGGACAAGGTGATCATCTCCGACGAGAACGCCCCGGAGGAGGTGTTCGTGTTCCCCGCGGATCCAAAGTCCATGCGCGGGCGGTGGCTGGATAAAGACGAAGGCGACGGCCTCACGACGGTGACGCTTCAACCGATGGACGAGTCGAAAGGGATCTTCTACCAGATCACGGTGCAGACCTCGGACATCATGTTCGCGGGCACGGACGCGAACGTCAGCATCACGATGTACGGCGAGAAGGACGGCAAGAAGACGACGTCCGTGGAGAAGATGCCGCTGGAAAACAGCTCGAACAACTTTGAACGCGGCGCGCTCGACACGTTCGAAATCGGTCCGATTCCCGACCTCGGGGTGTTGACGTCCATCGACATCGGCCACGACGCGTCCGCGCCCGGGAGCGGTTGGCACTGCCAGTACGTCGACATCGTCGAGACGTCAAACCCGGACGACCGGTGGTACTTCCCGATTCAGAGCTGGTTCGACCTCGGGACGAAGCCAAAGAAAATTCGACAGACGTTTGCCGCGGCGAAGAAAGACCCGAACGCGGCGACGACGTCGTACAAGATCGAGACGTGCACGTCGGACGTCACGGACGCGGGCACGAACGCGAACGTGCACATCACGATCTTCGGGGATAAGGGCGACACCGGGAAGCTGATGCTCGACAACGACAAGGATAATTTCGAGCGCGCGATGGATGATGATTTTTTCATCGCCGACGCGAAAAACGTCGGGAAGATTTCGCACATCGAAATCGGGCACGACGAGGCGTACTTGAGCCCGAAGTGGCACCTCGCGGAGGTGAGAATATTCAACACCGCGACGATGGAGACGCTGACGTTCCCCGCGGACTGCTGGATCTCGAAAAACGAAGGCCCGCACTTCCGATCGGAGATTATGCTCACCCCGGGCGGCGTCGAAAACGCAATCACGCTGAAGACGTACAAAGTATCCGTCCACACCTCGGACGTGCGCTACGGCGGGACGGACGCGAACGTGACGTGCAGAATCCACGGCACGCGCGCGGACGGCTCCAAGGTGCGCACGGGAGACAAGGTTTTAAACGACGGCAAGGACAACTTTGGAAGGAACAAAGAGGACGTCTTCCTCGTGAAGGACGTCGACGTCGGCGTCGTGGACGGCTTGTGGATCGGCCACGACGGCACCGGGTCCGGGTCGGACTGGCACTTAAATTACGTCGAGGTCGAGGTCATGGACGATGACGACGCGACCGCGCCGGTATTCTTCTACCACGAGGACTGGCTCTCGAACGAGAAGAGCGAGGGAGTCATGCTCAAACCGGACGCCGGCGGCAGCGGGAAGATTCGGTATAAAATTTCCGTGCACACGTCCGACGTTCGTTTCGGCGGGACCGACTCCACGGTCAACATCAAGCTCATCGGCTCGAAGGACGGCAAGCCGGTGGAGACCGAGCTCATGACGTTGGAGAACTCCGCGGATAACTTCGAGCGCGCGAAGATCGACGAGTTCATCGTCAAAGTGCGCGACGTCGGGGAGATCACGAGCGTGGACGTCGGCATCGAAACCGGAATGACGTCCGATTCCTGGCACCTGAAGATGATCTCCGTGGACAACACGTCCACGGCCGCGAGAGAGGTATTCTTCTACCACGAAGACTGGCTAAACAGCAAGTCCCCGCGCGTGACGCTGACGCCGTCGGACGGCAGCAAGAACGCCGCGGGCGTCGAAGACGGCCTGTGCCCGTACGTCGTCGAGGTCATCACTTCGGACATCAAAGGCGCCGGGTGCGACGCGAAAGTGTCGCTCGTCATCTTCGGTAAGGATGGCGAGAGCGATTCCCTCGCGCTGGACACGTCCGCGGATAACTTCGAACGCGGCTCGAAAGAGACGTTCCACGTCCGCGCCCCGGACGTCGGAGAGATTGAACGCATCAGACTCGGGCACGACAACAGCGGCAGCTTCTTCGGGAACGCGTCGTGGCACTGCGCGTCTGTGGAAATCACAAACACGCAGACGAACGAGAGCGCGATATTCAACATCAACAAGTGGTTCGCGGAGGACAAGCCGCCGAACATGGTTTCCCAGGTGTTCTACCCCGGGGATAACAAAGACGCGGCGCCGACGTTTCCGTACATCATCACGGTGAACACCTCCGACGTTTACGGCGCCGGCACGGACGCGAATGTGAAGATGACCTTGCGAGGGATCGACCCGGAGGATGGCTCGTCCACGACGATGGGCCCGTTCCCGCTTTCGACGACCGGAGACGACTTCGTCCGCGGCAAAGCGGAAGTTTTCACCGTGCAAGGCCCGAAGCTCGGGGAGATCAAAGAGTGCGTCGTCCAGCACGACGGCGCGGGGTTCATGGGCGGCGGCGACTGGCACCTCGCGTGGGTGGACGTCGAGAACAAAGCGACCGGGTCGAAGGCGACGTTCACGTGTGGGGATTGGGTAAAAGCGGACCAGCCGCGGACGCTCGCCGCGGAGGTCGTCGGCAGCTTCGCGTACGAGGTTGAGATTCACACCGGGACAAAGTACGGCAGCGGCACGGACGCGAAAGTCGCCATCGTCATCACCGGCGACGCGGACCCAACGCCGTGGGCGCCGGAGTTGCTTCAAAATGAAAAGAGCTTCTCCAGCGGCGGCGTGGACGCGTTCGAGGTCACGCGCGCGACCGACATCGGCGCGATCACGAGTGTCACGCTGTCGTGCCAAGATAAAGGCATGTTCGGGGACTCGTGGTACTGCGACAAGGTCATCGTCAGGTCGAAGACGACGGGGCGCGAGTGCCTCTTTTTCTGCAACGACTGGGTCTCGTACGAAGGGAAAACGCTGTCGGAAAAGGTGATGACGGACGCGGGGATCGAAAACGAAGCCGCGGCGGCGGCAGCGAAAGCCTCCGGCGCCGCGGCCGCGGGGGACATCCCGACCGAGTACAGAATCACGACGTACACCGGGGACGAGCGCGGCGCGGGCACGGACGCGGCGGTGAGCGTCGAAATTTTCGGCGCGAACGGTTCCTCCGGGGACATCCCGTTGGACCAAGACGCGGAGCTTTTCGAACGCGAAGCCGTCGACGCGTTCGACCGCGTCGCAAAGAAAGACCTCGGCGAGCTCAAGGAAGTCTTGGTCTTCCACGACGGCGGCGGATGGGGCAGCGGGTGGCTCCTAGACAAGGTCGAGATCGAGCACGTGCTCACCGGTCGGACGTACGAAGCCGAGGTGAAGGCGTACGTCTACGGATCGAAAGAGAAGGGCGTCAAGGCGGCGTTGAAGGTGACGCGCGCGGGGGCGGACCCGCGCGAGATGAAGAAAATTGCGGACGCGGCGGCGGCGGAGGCGGCGCACCTCGAGAAGCTTAAGCTCGGCGACGACGGCGGGGACGGCGGCGACGCGGGGACGCAAGCGGAGGCGTCGAAGGCGATGGGCGAGGAGACGCCGCGGCCGGCGGAGCCGCAGGAGGCGGCGAAGGTGAAAAAGTTGGCCAAGGAAGCCGCGGCGGCGTCCGCGGAGAAGGCGGCGAAGACGCCTCCGGTCGACGATGCAGCCAAAGCCATCGCTGACGCGGCCGCGAAGGCTGACGAAGCCGCGAAGGCGAAGGCGGATGAAGAAGCCAAGGTTGCGGCGAAAGCGAAGGCGGATGAAGAAGCCAAGGTTGCGGCGAAAGCGAAGGCGGATGAAGAAGCCAAGGTTGCGGCGAAAGCGAAGGCGGATGAAGAAGCCGCGGACGCCGCCGCCGCGAAATCAAAGGCCGACGACGCCGCGAAGGCTGCCGCCGCGGCAAAGAAAGCAAAGGCCGACGACGCCGCGAAGGCTGCCGCCGCGGCAAAGAAAGCGGACGACGCCGCCGCGAAGGCTGCCGCCGCGGCGAAGGCTGCGGACGCCGCCCCCGGCGCGTCCGCGGCGACGAAGCCGCTCGACGACGACCCCGCCGCGCCCGCGCCCACGCCCGAGCCCATAGAGTACGTTGTGACCACGTTCCAGTCGTGCCCGGTCGACCTCGCGGTCACGATCGTCGGCACCACCGGCGAGGCGAAACTCGTCATCGAGAGCGGGAAGATGGAGGGCGTCGTCGTCGCGACGATCGGCGCGGCGCGGCAAGTTCGCGTCGTCGCCGCCGGCCTCGCGGACGGCGAGTCCTGCGCGCTGATGGAGATCTGCGTCTCCGAAGACGGCGACATGGTGACGTTCGAGCTCGGCGACGACGCGGTGTTCACGACCGCGCACCCGGAGATCCGGGTGATGAAGTCCGCGCTGCCGGAGGCGCCGTGCGAGGAGTGGGAGGAGGCGAGGGCGATGCGAAAAGGGCAGCCCGCGTCGTATTGGTTTTCCAACGCGACCAAGGCGTCGGTATGGAAGGAACCGAAGAAGTATTATCCGGTGAAGTTTAAGCGGCCGCCGAAGAAGACGGCGTCGGCGTCGGAGGGAGGCGACGCGGCGGCGGCGGCGGCGGCGAAGAAGGAGTAAGAGGAGGTTGTACATGCGCGTCTCGACGAAGAGACGCCGTAGGAACACGAGCGTTAGACGCGCAAAGAGTAGATTGTTAAATGATGAGCTCATCTAGATTCCACCGACGCCCTTCCTCTGCCTCTACTACAACATCCGACCCCTCTCTCTCCTTCAGAATACTCCCGACTGACTCGCGAGCCAGTAGCACCACACGCCGCCGATCCCGAGCCACATCCCCGGCGGCAGCGCGGCGAGCGGGTTCGCGCGTTCCTCACCAGATGTACTACGCGCTTTCGACCACCCGCGGTACAGCGCCGCCCCCGTGGAGAGCACGAGAGGCAACAGAAGCGGGCCCGCTTGTAAGACGACGTCGTTCACGGACGCGCGCGGGACGACGGCTCGATGTCCGCGCGCTGATTTCGTTCGAAGGCGCACGCTTTGACGTGCGGGGGCGGGGGTGACCCCGCCGCACCGCGCCAGCGACATCGAAAATGACGAGCGGGAACGAACAGAAGTCGAGCCAAGTCGCAGTCTGCTGTCGTCCACAAACCTAGGTCCAGTCCTTCGATGCGCGGCGCGCGGGCGACGCCTTCCTTGGTCGCGACGAACGCAGCGGCGACTCACGCTTCGGCGACAGCGTCGCGAGCGTCTCCGTATCGAGCGCGCGTCACCTCGCGCGTCGGAGGAGGCGCCGCGTCGCGTCCGGCTCGGCACCTGCTCATCACCCGACGAGCCGATTTCCGCGACGACATCGCGGCGGCGAAGACGACGACGACGCCCGCTGCTTCCGCGTCGGACGACATGACGAGCGCGGACGAGTCGTGGACGGTCCGCGCGTGGACGGCCGAGGGCGGCGACGCGTGGACAGGCGCGCTGACCGCGACGCCGAGCGTGCGCGTCGTCCGAGGGAGCGACGACGACGCGAGCGAACGAAAAGGAGGCGAGGCGTCGTCGTCGTCGTCGTCGTCGTCGTCTTCGTCTTCGTCGTTCGACGCGCGCGCGTACTTCGCGAGGTTGAACACGAAAACCGAAGGACGCGTGCTCCTCACCGCGAAGACGCTCCCGTCGACGCAGCGCCTCGTCTCCGCGAACGCCGCGGACGCGGACGCGGTCGTCCCGGACGGACTGATCTGCGTCGCGGACGTCCAAGTCAGCGGCGTCGGGCGAGGCGGGAATCAGTGGAGCTCCCCGCCCGGGTGCCTCATGTTCTCGTTCCTGACCCCGCACGCCGAAGGCCGCACGCTACCGTTCCTGCAGTACGTCTCGACGATGGCCGCGGTGGAGGCGATCCAGGACGTCGCGGACGACGCGATGACGACCGCGAGGAAAGCGGCGGCGGAGGACTCGTCTTCGCCGGCGCCGCCATTGCCGCCGTTTCGACGCGGCACCGGTCGCACCCTGGACGCGCGCATCAAGTGGCCGAACGACCTGTACAGCGGTGGAGTCAAGATAGGCGGGGTGCTGTGCCAGTCCACGTACGCGAACGGGCGGTTCGACGTCGTCATCGGCGTCGGGTTAAACCTCGACAACGCGGAGCCGACGACGTGCGTGAACGAGATCATCGCGAAACGTTTGGCGAGGGACGGGCTGGTCGTGGCGCCCGGCGGCGAATGCACGCGCGAGCGGTTGCTCGCCGGGTTTATGAACCGGTTCGAAGCGTTGAGTGGGATGCTCAGCGCGACGCGGTCGTTCTCTGGGCTGGAGGCGTCGTACTTGCGGCAGTGGTTGCACACGGATCAGGACGTCGTCATCGAGGACGCTTCGGGCGGCGGCGGCGCCGCCGCCGCCGCCGCGGGGTCGGCGCGCGTCACCATCAAGGGCGTGACCGCGACCGGGTACCTCCTCGCGGTGGACGAGAAGGGCACGAGGTACGAGCTGCACCCGGACGGGAATAGTTTAGACTTCTTCAAGGGCTTGGTGAGGAAGAAGCTGCCGAGTTAGCCGCGTCGTTGTGTATGAAACTTTTGGGTTGTTTGCTTTTTTGTCCGACTCCGGCTGAGCCACCTAGCTGAGCCGTTGAGGACTCGGAAACGAACACGGCACCTCATCACAGCTCGAGACGCACCCCGCGCTCGCCATGTCCCGCTTCGTGGGCAAAGTCGCGCGGGTACGCCATCATCCTACTCGCGTCGTCGCCCCCTCGCCTCCCCTCGCTCCCGTCGCTCCCGCGACGCGCCGCCCTCGCGCGCGGTGTCGCGCGCGCGATCCCCGGAAAACGACGACGCGCCCTCGCGTCTTCCTCGACAACTCACCCGCGTTCGATCTCTCCTCCTCCTCCTCCTCCTCCTCCTCCTCCTCCAGGGCGTCGGCGGCGCCGTGCGGAACGTAGGCGCCGCGGGCGGCGCGGTCGCGAAGAGCATCGTCTTCGGCAACGGCGAGAGGGACGACATCGACGACGGCGGGACGGAGCCCCTCCTGGAGCGCATCTCAGACGGCGTGCTCGCGGACGACCGTCGAAGTGCCGCGTCGGAGCTTCGAGATCTGGTCCAGGAGAACCCCGTCGCGCAGGCTGCGATCGGCTCGATCGGCCTCACGACGCTGCTCACCGCGCTGAGGGACGAGAGAGAGGACAGCGATCTCGTGCAGCTGGTCCTAGAGGTGCTCGTGAACGCCATCACCGCGGGCGGCGGCGCCGGCGCGTCGTCGGCGACGAATGCGAACGCGAATGCAAACGCCGGCGGCGGCGAAGCGGCGGCGGCGGCGACCGCCGGCGACGCCGCGGTCGACGCCGCGGCCGCGTCGCCGTCCAACGAGAGCGGCATCTCCCCCGCGGGCGCGGCGAACGCGGAGGCGCTCGCGAAGAACCCGACGAACGTCGAGCTTTTGCTGTCGCTCCTCGACGAGTCCGACTTTTACGTCAGGTACCACGCGGTTCAACTCCTGACCGCGTTGTCCTCTGTCTGCGCGCACCAGCTCCGGAGCGCGATCATGAGCAACCCGATGGGAGTGGGGAGGTTGATGGACATGATGCTCGAGCGCGAGGTGATTCGAAACGAGACGCTTTTGTTGCTCATATCGTTGACGCGCGGGTCCGAGGACTTGAGGAAAATCGTCGCGTTCGAAGGCGCGTTTGAACGGTGCTTCAACGTCGTTCGAGAGGAGGGCGCCGCGGACGGGGGCATCATCGTTCAGGACTGCCTCGAGCTGTGCAATAACCTACTCCGAGGCTCGCCGTCGAACCAGACGTTCTTCCGCGAGTCTTCGTTCCTTCAGAAGCTGCCGGAGATTCTGCAACTCAAGACGCCGCCGCCGACGCCGGGGGGTCCGCCGCCGCCGCCGCAAAAAGCCGCCAACTTGCTCTGCGCGCTCGAGCTCGTGACGTTGCTCGTGTCCACGTCGGGCGCGAAGGCGGGGACGACGAACCCAACCCCAGGCGGCGTCGACGACGCGGTCGCGCTCGAGATTGCGCAGAGAGAGGCGACGGCGAAGACGCGGTGCCGCGCCGAGAACCAGACGCAGCTCGCGAAATTCGGAACGCTCGACGCGCTCTTATCCTTGTGCCTCGGCGAGCTCGCCGTCCCGAGCGTCCCCGTGCGCGTCTTCGCGCTGCGGTGCTTAGGCGACCTCGTCGCGGAGAACCGATCGTGCCAGGACCTTCTGTTCGCCGCGGAGGTGAACCTCGGCGCGGGGAAGCACGAGCCGGCGTTGCTGTCGTGTCTGCGCGCTGCGACGCGAGGAAATGACGCCGCGGAACGCGCCGCCGCGGAGGGCGTCTTCGCGCGCGTCCTTCGCGGAAACACGGAGCTCCAGCTGATGTGCATCTCCACGATCGCGCCGACGGGCGTCGGCGTCGGCGACGGCGACGTGTCCTTGGGCGGGTTCCTCGCCAGGGCGCTCGTCGGGAAGACGACGGGCGCCGCCGGCGGACCGGGGGAGCTCTCCGTGTCGTGCCACGCCGCCGCGGTGCTGAGGCACATGCTGGACGGGAACGCCGCGGCCAAGGCGAAGATCTTGACCATCCCGCTCGAGCTCCCGACGTCCGCCGCGTCGCCGCCGGAGCTGCTGCTCCCGCGCATCGTGCGGTATCTGTCCGCGGCGGTGCGGGCGTCGTCGTCGCTGGCGGGGATGGGGATGGGGATGGGGATGGGCGTCGGCGGCGCCATCGGCGGGTACTTCTCCGCGGAGAAGATCGCGGAGACCGCGGCGGCTCGGAGAGACGCGGAGATCCTCCAGGCGGTGCTCCTTCGCATGCTCATCTCGTGGCTGCACGGCTGCGCGGACGCGGTGAACGCGTTCCTCGCCCCCGCGGCGCACCTTCCGATGCTCGCGGACTTGGCCCGCGGCGGCGCGGACCAAGGCGGGTCCCCGCACGTCGCCGGACTCGCGTCCGTGCTCCTGGGGTGCTGCCTCGCGTGCGACGTGGAGAGCGGGCACGTGGACGCGCACGCGGTGTTGGACGTGATCACGTCGAGAGTGGGGTTGAACGAGTATTTCGGGCGGTGGGAGGAGATGCGTCGGACGCGGGAATTCGTCGCCGCCGCCGCCGCGCCGACGCTCGCGAAGCCGTTGACGAGGGTCACCGCGCAGAGGCTCGTGGAGGTTGGCAACGGCGGCGGCGGCGGGCTCGACCTGTACGACCACGCGATGGCGTCGTTCATCGTCGCGTTCGAGGAGGACGTCAAGGCGCGCGTGATTTCGATCTACGCGCGTCCGAAATCCTCCGCGATCGCGGGGGACGTCGCCGCGTGGGAAAAAACCGCCGGGGAGGACGACGCGGCGCACGCGGTGAGGTTGAAATCCGCGCTGAAGACGCGAGGGGAGGAGCTCGCGGAGCAGCGCGCGCGTAACGCGGCGCTCGCGGAGCAGTTGATGGTCGCGGGGCTCGTGCGAGGCGGAGGAGCGCCCGCGCCCGCGGCGCCGCCCGCGTCGCCGCCGGTCGCGGCGCCGCCCGTCGCGGCGGCGCCGGGAGAAGGGGGCGAAGCCGCGGCGGCGGGTGCTGCGGGTGCTGCGGCGGCGGCGGCGGCGGCGGCGGAGGCGGCGAGAGCCGCTGCGACGAAAGAGAGCGGCGAGCTCAAAGCCGCGCTCGAGCAAGCGAAAGCCGCGGCGGAGGACGAGCTCCGGAGGCTCCGAGCCGAGCTCGAAGACGCGAAAGCCGCGGCGGCGTCCTCGGAGGAAAACCTGCGGAGTCTCTCCGAGGCGTACAACGGCCTCGAGGCGACCGCGCACGGCGCCGAGGAGGAGGCGAAGACTCTGCGCGAGCAGCTCGCGGCCGCGACGACGGCGTCCGCGACCGCGGTGTCGTTCGCGCCCGCCGCCCCCGCGACGACGCCGTCGCCTGAGGATCTCCTCGCGGCGAAGGAGGAGGGTCGCAGAGAAGCCGTGGCAGAGATGGCGAAACGGCTGGAAGAGACGGCGGCGTCCGCCGCCGCCGACGTCGCCGCCGCGCGCGAAGACGGGCGACGCGAGGCGATCTCGGAGATGGCGACGAAGCTCGAGGACGACGCGATGAGCGCGCCGACGCCGCCGAGGGGCGGCGCGGGGGTGTCGAACGAGGCGTTGCAGCGCGCGAGGGACCACGCCGTCGCGGAGATGACGACGAAGATGGAGGAAGCCGCGGCGGAGCACGAGTCCGAGCTTTCGGATTTGTTGATTTGTTTGGGGCAGGAGGAGAGCAAGCGCGAGGCGCTGTACGCGCGGTTAGTAGAGAAGCACGGCGAGCGAGAGGAGGATTTGGAAGTTTTCTTGGAGGAGTGCGTCGTCGAGGACGAGGACGACGAGGACGACGAGGATTGAGATGCTCGCTCGTGATGGAAGTTTAAAAACGTTTGTCGCGCGGCTCGTCCCGTCGTCGTTCTTTCTTTCGTGTGCTCGCACCCACCTCGCTCGTTCACGCGATCGCGGGAGATGTCGCCAAGAGTCGAGCAGACCTTCGCGTGCCGACGACGCCAACCTTCTCCGGCGCGACCGTCGGGCGTCTCCGATTCTTCACCGGCGAGAGTTCAATCTTCGCCCTCGCGTTTTTCAGCTTTCGCGGCTTCTTCGCCGCGGGCTTCTGCGGCGGCGGTGGCGGCGGCGGCGGCGGCGCCTTCTTCGGAAGCTTCGCGCGTGCCTTCTTCGCGCGCTTCCTCGGTACGACGACGAGGGCACGCCCGCGCGGGGCTGGCGCATTCCCGAGCGACGTGGCTTCCCTCGCCGCTGCGGCGGCGGCGGCTCGCTCCGCCTTTGCAATCTCCGCGAGGTGTTTCTTCTCGAACTTTCGCGCGTCGGCTTCCGCCTGCTCCGCGAGCTTTTCCCGTCGCTTCGCCTCGACGATCGCGTGCGCGTCGTGCACCGCCCTATCGAACGCCGCGGCCATCTCCGGGAGCGTCATCCCCGGCACGTCCGCGAGGCTGTTGTACGCCTCGGTCACGTTCTCAACCTGCGGTTCGTTCGCGACGCGAAAGGTCAGTGGACGGGGGTATCGATACGCGAGGACGCGCCTGTCTGACGGTCATGCACGAGAGATGACGCCAGAACGTCGTCCCCGCCATAGGGTGTTCTGCTTCCGCGTCCAGCGCGCTGCCGAGTCGGCGTTCGCCCTGTGCGGAGACGCGAGGTTGGGGGGGGGGGAAGAGCGGGGGCGTCGGAAAAGTCGAGTCGGGTCTTTTCGTTCGCGCGTCGCGCACCTGAAGGATGGGCCCCTTGCACGCCCCCCCGCACGTCTGAGGGTGGGCCGTGGGCTTGACGTCGAGGATGTACGGCGTCGCGCGCGTCGCGTGGCGAACGACTCCGCGGCGCGGAGAGTGTGTCAAAGAACGAAAGCGTCGTGGTCTTTGAGTTTCAACGCACAGCTGTGCGACGACGACGAAAATCTTCGCCGCTAAGCCGCGCCCTCTTCCGCTCCCTTCACTTCCCCGGGCCCCCCCCCCCCCCCCGCCGCCGCACAGATCTGGCCATGTCCTTCGACGACATCCCCGAGGACCTCGCTTGCGAGATCTTGTCCCGCATCACCGACCCGGGAGACCGCGTTCGCCTCGCCGCGGTGAGCAGGGTGTTCAGGGACGCGGAGAAGGCGGGAGTCGCGTCGTTGCCTGGCTCGCCCAGTGCGTTGGTCGAGCTCGGTCGTGGGTTTCAGCGGATTGCTTCGGTCGAAAAGGCGTTCTATTGGTGGCGTAAGGCCGCGGATCATGCCGATGCCCGTGCCATGCACGAGATCGCAATGTGCTACTACTATGGGTGGGGCGTGAAGCAAGACCACACGAAGGCGGTCGAGTGGTTTGAAAGCGCGTCCAGGTGCGGAGAAGCCTACGCGACCCTCATCCCGCTCATCCACGCTATGGCAAATATATGTGCGCGTACTCGAGGCTGAGCTCGAGATGATAAACACGGACTGACGACGAACACGTACCTTTTGACGTGAATTACAACGAACGCGCGTACACGACCGTCTATCTGTGAATGATTTCTTCCGCGCCGCGCCGCTCACGCGGCCACCCCGGCGACGCGCTCGCGCACGACCGCCTTGCTCTCGTCTAAGCTAAGCCTAAACACCCCCCCTCTCCCGTCGTCCAAAATCTCGAGCACCTCCGGCTTCCCGTCCCCGCACCCTTTGCTCATCCCGACGTCCACCCTGAGCACCTTGCCGTCGCACGCGGCGTTCACCCCGTGCGGCGCCTGAATCGTGTGCCCGACGACGACGCGTTTCATCCCGGGCATTTTCGACAGAGACGCCTCGAGGACGTCGCAGTCGCACTGCGTCTTCTCCGGCATGCTGTAATCGCGCGCCCACACCACGGACTCTCTGCCGGAGACGTGCACCGGCGGCGGTCCGCTCCCTTTGTTCCCGCGGACCCAGTCCGACGTCTCTTTGTTTATGCGCTCCAAGCCGTAGTCGACGTGGTGGGGCAACACGCCGCCGTGCGCGAACACCGTGGACCCCACGGCGACGACGAGGGGTTGGTGCGCAAGAAATCGCCGCGCCATCGGTCCCCCGGGCGCGAGAGCCGCGAGCCGCGGGAGCTGCGCGCCGGGGCCGCTGTCCGAGTACAGACGCGCGGACGTCCGCCCCGGCGCGGCCGCGTCGTCGCCGGCGGCGGCGGCGGCGGCGGCGGCGGCGCCGGTCCGCCGCTTCGACCGCTCGACCGCCGCCTCCGCGGCGGACGCGCCCACGAGCGAGCACTCCCCCGGGCCGACCCCGCACGCGTGCTTCATCGCCGCGCCCATGCACTGCCGTCCTCGCCACCGACGGAAGTCCTCCAGCCCGTCCGCGGTGGCGTATCGGAATCGCCCGGCGACGTTCAACGTCTCGTGGTTTCCGTTCATCACGACCAGCTCCCCGCCCGCGTCGCGCGCTTCCTTCCTCAGCCGCTCGAGGAGGAGGAGGATCGCGACCTCGTCGCCGCCGCGGTCGAGCTGGTCGCCCACCTGCACCGCGGTCGTCGTGCCTCCCGACCATCGCTCCGTGGAGGGATCCATGAGGCCGCCCGCGACGAGCGCCTCCTTCGTCTTCGCGAGATCGCCGTGCAGATCGCCGACCGCGACGAGCCTTCGCACCGCGGGTCGGAACACCGGCCCGGGCGCGCCCGGCGACCGCAGCGCGTGCGTCTCGCTCGCGGCCGCGTTCGGGACTTTCTCCTCGCCGCTCGGCGTGAGGACGTCCGCGCGTCGCCAGGAGAAGCGCGACAGCGCGGACGTCGCGCGAGGCGGAGGCGGATGCACCGCCGCGCCGTTCGCGTGCAGCGTGTCCACGAACGCGTCCACGAACGGGCCCCACACCGGCGCGAGCGCGGCGCATCGCGGGTCCGCCTCGAGCGGCTTGCTTCCGCCGACGCCCATCGTGGACGCGAGGATTCCCTCGAGGAGGCGTCGCCAGCCCCGCGCGCGTCGGGAGATCTAAACGGTCCCGATTAGATGTGGTGCTGGAGTCGTGAAACTGCCTGGCGGCGAAGGTCCTGTCGTAGAACGAACCTCGGACGCCGCGCTCAGATCTACCCCGCACGTCGCGCACGCCGCGAGTAGGCCGGGATGTCCGCCATCCGCGACCTCGTGGGCGGCGGCGACGCCGGCTGCGCGGCGCCGGACGAGCGCGCGGGGTCGACGAACCCGCTCGGGCGCCTCGCGGACGCGGTCCTCGGCGACCGGAAATCCCAGGGCAGGCGCCCGGAGCATCTCCGCGGCGGCCCGGGCCCCCCGGGCGCGGACGGCGGCGTCGCGTTCGCGGACCAGTTCCTCTCCGAGCAAGCGCTGCGAGGGAACCTCCTCGGCGCGGACGACCCGCACTTCTCGACGCTCCCGGGCGGGCCGACGACGCGCGGGGCCCCGCCGCTCGGATCCTTCGGAGGCGCGGAGGACGTCGAGGAGTTCCTCCGCTACCGCGAAGCGCTCGACGCGAGCGCCGCGCGCGCGCCACCGGGCGCCGCGCGCCACCCCGCGGGACCGATGCCGCCGCCGCCGGACCACCCCGCGCTGACCGCGGCGCTGCGATCCGCGGTCGCGACGACGACGCCGGACGCGTCGCCGCGGACGACGCATCCGCCGCCGCCGCCGCCGCCGGGGGATCTCCGCGAGCTCTCGCCGCTGGAGAAGACGACGATACGCGACAGAAGCGCGATCATGGCGCGGCATCTGAACGGCGCCAGCGAGGCGGAAGTGCGCGCCAGGCTCGCGCGCGCGCTGTCGCCGCTGCGGATCGACGCGGGGCTGGCGGACGCGCGCGGGATGATGGACGGGCCGCGGTCGGCGGGGGGACACGCCAACGCCGAGGCGGCGGCGAACGCGAGAGCGGGGTGGGCGCGAGAGTTCTCGAGGGAGAACGCGTGGGCGAGCGAATTCGCGCGGATGCGCGTGGGCGAGGCTGCTGGCGCCGGTTCCGGCGCGGGCGCGCGAAGCGGCGGCGCGGCGTGGGCGAATGAATACGCGGCGGCGAGAGGGGGAGGTTCGGAAACGGCGGGCGAGAAAAACGAGTGGGCGAGCGAGTTCGCGGAGCAGCAGACCCCCGGCGGGGCGTGGGCGAGCGAGTTTCGCGAGGCGCAGGACGCGACGGCGACGGAGGCGGCGAGGGAGGGCGGGCCCACGGCCGCGCAGGCGGAGACCGCGGCGCAGGCGAGGGGGCTCGTCGAGACGCTGTCGCAAAACGCGGACCCGAAATTCCAAAACAGCGAGTTCCTCAGGTTCATGTCGCGCATGAGCAAGGGCGAGATCGTCGTCGAGGGCGACGCCGTCAAGGAAACGGGCGTATCGAACGCGGAGCCCGCCCCAGCGCACGTCAAGGCGGGCGCGGCGTGGGCGAGGGAGTTTGGCGCGGAGCAAGCGAACAACGGAGGGTGGGCGAAAGAGTTTGCAGACTCCGGCGGCACCGCCGCGCAGTGGGCCGCGCAGTTCGAGATCGAGGCGCTCAAGCAAAGGCACGAAAAATCCGAGAGGAACGCCGCGCAAATGTGGGCGGACGAGTTCGCGAACGTCCCGGACGAGTGGGCGAAAGAGTTTGAAGACCACGTGTCGTCGCGCCCGGATTGGATCAACGAAAACGTGTGGGACCAAGTCGCGAAAGAAGACCAAGCGCTGAAGCGCGCGGAGCGATCGACGTACGTCTTCACGGACCCGAACCCGTACCTGGGACGCGCTGACGCGCTCGAGCTCGGGAAGCGGCTGTTCCGCGAGGGGAACCTCTCCGAAGCTTCGCTCGCGCTCGAGGCGGCGGTGCGCGCGGACGCGTCCCTCTGCGAAGCCTGGCGGCTCCTCGGCACGACGCACGCAGAGAACGACGACGACCGACGCGCGATCGCGGCGATGACGAAAGCGAACGAGGCGGACCCGACGGACGCGAACGTGTTGCTCGCCCTGGGCGTCTCGCACACGAACGAGCTCGACGACGCGGAGGCGACGGGGTACATGCGCGCGTGGTTGCGGCAGCAACCGCGGTTCGCCGCGATCGAAGCCGAGCACGAAGCGTCGAACGCCGCGTCCGGGGTAACGGACACGCCCGCGAGCGTTTTGCACTTGTTCAAGCGCGCGGCCGCGGTCGCGCCGAACGACGCGGACGTTTTGTCCGTGCTCGGCGTCCTCGCGCACCTCGTGAGGGATTACGACGCCGCCGTGGACGCGTTTAACGCCGCGTTACGAGTCGCGCCCTCGGACTATTCGCTGTGGAATAAACTCGGCGCGACGCAGGCGAACAGCGCGCGGTCCGCGGACGCGATGAGTGCGTACCAGCGCGCGTTGGACCTGAAACCGAACTACGTGCGCGCGTGGTGTAACATGGGGATCGGGTACGCGAACCAAGGGAAGTACGAGGAGTCCGTGAAGTATTACGTGAGGGCGTTGTCGATGAACCCGAACGCGGAGAGCGCGTGGGGGTACCTCAGGATATCGTTAGGGTGCTGCGGGAGGATCGAGCTCATGGAGGCGGTGGACCGGAAGGATTTAGAGGTGCTGCAGAGGGAGTTTCCGTTGTAGTGTCGTAGGAAAGCAGACCGCTCGTCGCGCTTGGTTCTCGCGCTCCTTCGCCTTCCCCGCGACTGAACGCAACCCTAAATCACGCATCTCAGATCTGAGGGGACAGGGGCGCTTTTGTCACTCTCCCGTCGCCGCCCCACGCCATGGCTCGGCGCAAGACGAGGGCGAAGAAACCCAAAGACGCGGTGTACGACCCCGTCTCCACCGCGCTCGGGATGACGGACGTCCTCGAGCGCGTGCTGACGTTCGTGGAGAAGCCCGCCGACGTCGTGAAGAGCGCGCTCGTTTCCAAGGCGTTCAGAAAGGTCTGCAACTCAACCGCGCTGTGGAAAGCGAGGGCCGCGCATCACAAGCCCGTGAGTCAACATACCGTAGTTCGACATCGTACCGTGGAATATCGCAATCCGATCTGGCTGAATTTGCGGGTCGGTAAGGCACTGACGCGCATGCTGGTGCGCTCCTCGGTCGACGTCCCACTTTTTAGACTATTTTATTTTACTTTACCAACGACTTCTCAAGTTGACAACCAAATGACCTACACGATACAGAAAGCTGAAGAATACCCTTTCCTCGACGATGAGACCATCGACGAATTGCTCGATAATGCCAACGACGAGATGTTCACCTTCTGTGAGAAGCTGATCAGAGAATACTGCTACTTCCTGACGTGCTGTCGCGACACTGAAAAGGTATCGTACCGTGGAAAAACTCTTTCACCGAGCCCGCTCGTCGACCTAGTGTGGCACGAGCACATTCTCGCGACGAAAGAATACATGAAGTTCTGCGACGAGGTCTTCGGCGCGTACTTGCACCACACACCTGGCGACTACGACATCGAGTTCTACGAGAACACGATAGAAGCGTACGATAGGTGCATCGGGAAACCGAGATCCTCTGATATTTGGCCCGAGCCCGATGACCTCGAAGAATTATGGTTCGGTTCGGACCAGTCCGGCATGGACTGCGGCTGAGCGGCATCGCCACAGAGGACGACGACAAGACGCGCAAGCGCGGATCGAGACGGACGCGTACTGTGCACACACGACGAAAGAGAAGCGAGGAAAGACGACGACGCGATGTAATCGCGAGAGAAGACGACAAGACAATGAAAATCTCTCCTCTCAAAACGACCTCCCGCCGCCGCGAAACCCCGATCCCGGACGCGGCGCGGCTGGGATACCCCCCACGCGCGCGCCGCCGCCGCCGCGCTTCGCCGCGAGCCTCGCCAGCGCCGCGGCCTCCTTCTCCGCCTTCGTCATCGGTTTCGATCCTCCTCCGCCGTCTCTGTCTCTATCTCTATCTCCGTCTCCGTCGCCGCCGCCGCCGCCGCGGCGTCTCGCGTCGTCGTCCCCGCCTCGGTCCCGACTCCGGCTCCGGCTCCGGCTCCGTCGCCGGTACCGATCGCGGCTGCGGTCGCGCCTGTCGTCGCGCCCCCGCGGCCTCTTCTCGCCGCGGTAGTCGTCGCCGCGGTCGCCGCCGTACCGTTTTCCGCCGCGGTAGTCGTCCGGGTCGCGAGCGTCCTCGCGTCTCCGCTCCTCCCCTCCTCGCCGCGTCTCCTCGCGCCTCGCCTCTCGCGCCTCCGCCTCCTTCTCTTTCAGCCGTCTCCACGTCTCGCGCCACCGCTCGTCCCCCTGCGCGTCGTCGGCGTAATACCCGACGCCTTCGCGCCCGCGGGCGAAGTAATACCCCGAGCGTTCGCCGACCCACGCCTTCGCGGGGATGAACCGCTCCGGTCGATCGCGGTCTCTCTTCCCCGCCGTCTCCGCGCTCGGCGCGGCGGCGTCGCCGACGACGATCGGACGATCGTGCCGCGGCTTCACCCACTGCCCTTTCTCGTTCTTCACGAGCTTGGACGTCCCCTTGCGGACGACGCCGACGCCGGTGTCTCGCGCGACGTCGTTCTCGGGCGCGCTTCCGCGATGGAGCGAGTGCGGGTCTTGGAACGCCCTGTGCGCCTTCGACGCGGCGTCTTGCTCGTTCCCGCGCTCGGTCCAGGACTTCTCGTGGTCCACGACCGGGATCAGCGCGCCGCCCATGGCCGAACGACGCGCGCGCCGTGCGCGGCGCGACGATCAGTGATGACAGTGAAAAAAAAACGCGGGAGCCCTTCAGTTCGCTTTTCGGCGAGTCAGGTCCCTCACCCGATCGAAAGGTCGCGCCACAGCGAGCGCACGGCGAGCGCGTGGATTCACGTCAGAGCGATCGCACGCGCCTCATCGACGGGGTCGGCGGTCAGATCGCCCACCATGTCGGCGGCCGCGAGCGCGACGAGCGCGCTCGCGCGTCCGCGGCGATCCGCGGGGGGATGTCGAAAAACATTCTCTCGCGCGGGGACGCGTACGATCGCGCTTCGCGGACCCTCGCGATCGTTGATCCGCGCGCACGCGGGGTTTCACGAGGAGCGCGCGTCGCCGACGAGCGGTCCGGACGACGTCCCGGACTCGTTCCCGGGGCCGGGACGATCGGGCTCGGACTTCCTCACCGGCGGCGGCGGCGACGACGGGCTCTTGTCCCAGGCGGAGACCGTGGTGAAAGGGAACACCGCCGCGGTCCTCGAGCGCGCGCTGAACCCGGACATGGGCGGCAGCGATTTGGACTACCTCCAGGAGCTCATCGCGATCCAGTCGGGAGGGCCGAAAAACATCGGGTTCTTCGGCACGCGCAACATGGGCTTCCTCCATCAGCAACTCGTGGAGATCCTCTCCTACGCGCTCGTGTTGACGGAGAATCACATCTACACCTCGGGCGCGACGGGGACGAACGCGGCGGTGATCCGCGGCGCGCTGCGCGCGGAGAAGCCGGATCTACTCACCGTGCTGCTCCCGCAGTCTCTGAGTAAACAGCCGGAGGAGAGCCAAGAGCTTCTGGAGAAGGTGCGAGAGGGCGGGAGCGAGGTGATCTTCAACGAGGACAACGACCACCTGCCGCTCGGGGAGGCGAGTCGGATATGCAACGACGACATCCTGACGCGCGTGCAGCAGGTGATCTGCTTCGCGTTTCACGACTCGAACTTACTGTTGGACACGTGTCGGGAGGCGAAGATGGCGCGGAAGATCGTGACGTTGTTTTACCTCGACTGACGGCGCTTTTCGCGAGGGTTGTATTATTATCTCCATGATGTTACACGACACACTACGAGCGCTCCGCGGCTCACTTGGGCGCGGCTTGAAACCCAGAGAACAGGTCGTCCGCCGGCTCCGGCGTCGCCCTCGGCGGCGGCGCCATCTGAAACGCCGGCGGCGGCGCGAGCGGCGCGGGCGCGGGCACCCCGCGCCACGCCGCGTTCCCGCTCGGCGCCGGCGGCGGCGCCCCCCCGCCCGCGCCCGCGCCCGCGCCCCCGCCACCCATCGGCGCGTGCTGCCGCGCCGGCGCGAACCCCCCGCCCGGGACCCCCCCGCCGCGCGCGGGGACCTCGTCTGCGACCATGTCGAACACGCTCCCCAGCTCCGCCCGGCTCTCCATCCCGAGCGGCGCGAGCGCGCCGCCCGCCAGTCGCCGCGTCGGCGTCACCGTCGCGATGTCCACGTCGAGCAGGTCCCGCGGCGGCGATTGCGGTTGCGGTTGCGGCGGCGGCGCGCCGTGCGCCGCCTCCGCTTCTTCGTGTTCGTACCACTCGTCGCCGCAGTAATCCTCGAGGTCGTCCTCGACGTCTCTCGTCCCGTAGCTGTTCTCGAACCCCGCGTTGGCCATCATCCCCGCGCGGTCGCTCTCTTCGTGACTCCTCCTCGAGTTTGAGTTCCAGCTCTTCCCTCCCCGCCCCCCGCCCGGGCTCTTCCCGCGTCCGCCGCCTCTCCCGCCGCCGCGTCCTCCTCCCGCGCCCGCGCCCGCGCCCGCCCCCGCCCCCGCGCCCGCCGCGGCGATTTGCATCTCTTGCCCCATCAACACGTGCGTCTTCATGCGGTACTTCCTCGCCGCGCCGCCCTCGGTGCCGTGCAGGACGTACTCCTGGTACGTCGGCGCGAACTGATGCACGGTGTCGGACACGACGTCGTTTAGCGAGATGGCGTGCCCGATGTTCTTCAACGATATCCCGTGCATCTTGCTCGAGTCCGCGTACGGCGTCGACGGAAACGCGAACAACATCATCGGCGCGGCGATGATCATCTCGACGCAAATTAAAACGTTTTGCAACGCGCGGCCATCCTTCCCATCCTTCAAGACGCCATCGCTCACGAGAATCGCGCATAGGATCGACTGCCAGAACGTCAGGAAGATGACCGCCTTGACCAAGACGAACTTCAGGAGTGGTTTGTACGGCTGCAGGAGCTCGTGCGCGCCGAGGTAAAACAGCAAAAGCGAGTACAACGCGACGGTGTACGACAAGTTATACACGAACGCGATGTACGGGTACGCCTTGTCGCCTTTGATCTCTTGATCGCCGTAGACGCCGCACCACGTCAGGATGAGCGTCAGCATCGCGAGGATGGGCTTGAGGAAGACAAACTGAAGGGCGCCGCGTTTGCACGCGCGAATGTACGGTCCGTCCACGTGCATCCTGGGGAGGCAACACGTGGCGTGCCACCACGAAGGGACGATCTCCTTCCCGCCCAGCCGGTTGACGACGTTCCCGGGCCCGCCGACGTACGCGAGGCACAGCGACAGGAAGTTGTACACGACCCACGATTCGTAGCAGTCGCGGAACGTCTCGAGGTAGAGCGACGCGTCGCGATCGACGAGGGAGAACCACGAGCACAGCGCGTAGGTTGGCACCATGAAGATCACGCGGATGATGAACCGCTGGTGCGCGGGCTGCGTGTACCGGTGCAGGTGCATGATGATCTGCGTCACGCTCATCGCGACGGCGACGAACGCGAAGAACCCGGTCCATGTCAGCGTCGTCTCGTCCTCGAACATGGCGGCGAGATCGCGTCGCGGCGCGCTGACTTTGTTTTTTTTCCGGGGACCTCGCGAGTCGCGACTTCCAAGATGCGGCCGAGGTCCGCGCGCGCGCCCTCCTTCGCGCGGCGAGCCGCGAACGCCGCTGTCGCGCGCGGCCGCGGTCTTATCCGCTCGCGGAGGGAACGAACGAGCCCCGCGCGAGGTGCGAGACTGTGCGCGCGCGTGCTGCGCTCGCGCTCGCGTCTTTGGACGCGCGGGGGCTCGGCAACGGAAACAAAACAGCTGGCGCGATCTGCTGGCTGGCTGGAGAGGCCGCGAGGGGAACTCGCGATCGGCAGTCCTTTCATTTCAGCGCTCTCGTGGTGCCGATCTCTGATCGTGTTCGATCTCCGGCCGTCGTCTCAGAACACGACGCGCCGGACCGCGGGGACCATGTCGGACGAGGATGAACGCCCCGTCCCCGACCTCACCGAGGTCCAGCGCGAGTTCGGCGGCATGAACCTCTCCGTCCCGGACCACGCGTTCTGGGAGACGCAGCCCGTCGGGCAGCTGAAACCGGAGCTGAACAAGGCTGGCGAGGAGGGCCCGATCGACGATCCGATCGCGGTCGCGGACGTGAAGCAGGAGCCGTACAAGCTCCCGGACGCGTTCGAGTGGAGCAGCTGCGACCTCACGAACGACACGACGAAGCAGGAGGTGTTCGATCTCCTCGCGGCCAACTACGTCGAGGACGACGACGAGATCTTCCGGTTCAAGTACTCGCCCGAGTTTATCAAGTGGGCGACGCAGCCGCCGGGATATCACCAGGATTGGCACCTCGGCGTCCGCGTGAAAGGGACCGAGAAGCTCGTGGCGTTCATCACCGGCGTGCCCGCGAAGGTCATGGTGAAAGGCAAGGCGATAGACCTCGCGGAGATCAACTTTCTGTGCATTCACAAGAAGCTCCGCGCGAAGCGTCTGGCGCCGATGCTCATCCGAGAGATCACGCGGCGGGTCAACTTGAGAGGGATCTGGCAGGCTGCGTACACCGCGGGCGTGGTCCTCCCGAGACCGATCTCCACGGGGAGGTACTGGCACCGGTCCCTGAATTTTAAGAAGCTCGTGGAGATCAACTTCACGACGCTCCACGCGCGTTCCACGATGGCGCGGTCGATAAAACTCTTCAAGTTGGAGAACAAGACGCGAACCCCGGGGCTTCGCGAGATGAGAGACGAGGACGTCCCCGGGGTGACGGTGATCTTGAACAAATACCTGCGCAAGTTTGCGGTCGCGCCGGTGTTCACGGAGGCGGAGGTGCGGCACCACCTGTCCCCGAGAGACGGCGTCGTGTACTCGTTCGTCGTGGAGGACGAGGGCAAGCCGGGCGCGGTGACGGATTTCGTGTCGTTTTACTCGCTCCCGTCGACGGTGATCAAAAACACGATGGGGCACGACACGCTGCGCGCGGCGTACAGTTACTATAACGTCCCGGGGAAGACGCCGCTGCTTGATTTGATGGGGGACGCGCTCATACTCGCGAAGCAACGGGATTTCGACGTCTTCAACGCGTTGGATTTAATGGAGAACGAGCCGGAGGCGATTCTGAGCGCGCTCAAGTTTGGCATCGGCGACGGGAACTTGCAGTACTACCTGTACAACTGGCGGCTAAACGAGGAGCTGCCGTCGTCGGAGATCGGGCTCGTGCTGACGTAGCGGCGTGAGCGTACAGTAGCGTGTTGGTTGTAGTACGAGAACGTAACGTCACAGGTACTCGCGCAGCGTCGCCGCGCGGTCGCGCGTCTGCCGCACTAGCGCGTCCACGCTCGCGGCGAAGTCTCCTCGTCCCCACTTTTTCGCGTCTCGCGCCGCGTCGTTTTTTATCTTTTCCGCCGTCGCCCGCGCGGTGTCCTCTAAGAACCCGCTGAGATGCAGCGTCGTCAGCGCGCGCTGGAGCTCTCGCGCGTACGCGTCCCTGGCGCCGCCGTCCTTCAGGACCGCGTTCACGAGGTGGTTCCACGTCGAGCGGCCGTCGGATTCGGTGAAGATGTCTTGCGGGTGGTTCTCGTCGCAGAAGTACGGGCTGTTCCACCACTCGCACGACATGACGCAGTACGTCCCGCTATCGCCGCGGCACGGCTCGCGTCCGTTCGCGTCGCACCGCCCGTCGCGGTCGCGGTAGTCCGTCGCGAACGCGTCCTCCATGTCCCACGGAATACGTCTCCACTTCCCGTCCGAAGGGTTTCGGTGAACGAAATAGTTCTTCGCGCACCGGTCTTGATGCAGCAGCGCGGTCTGCACCGCCATCTCTTTCACGACCGCGTTCACGTCGACCACGTCCCACAGTCGCGACGTGTCGCCGCCGCGGTTCACGGCGTCGAGGTCGTTTATGAAGGCTTTCAGTTCGCCCACCGCGCGCGTCTCGTCCGGGTTGGCGACGGCGGCGTATCGATACACCTCCGGGCACGGCCCCCAGCCGCTCTCCCACTCCGGGGCGAACTCGCACGGGACCCATGAGTGTTGGACGAGAGGACGCAAGTTGCTGTACTTCCAGTGCACAGCCTTGAACATGGATCCGCTCGGGTCGAGACCCGCGCGCGCGAGGAACGAATCGTCCGGCTGCTCGACCATGACGTAGAGACCGAAGAATTCGCCGTTGCGTCGGACGACGACGTGCCTCGCCTCGGGAGCTTTTACGCCGAACCTCTTAAACGCGGCGGCTGCGAGCGTTTCTCTGAGGTAACTCGTCGTCCCCCCGGGCTCGTCGAACGACGAGTGGAGGTTGATCTCCTCCACCTTCGTCTCGACGTCGGGGACGTTTTCGTCCCACCGCGCGCGAAACGCCTTCCCGCGAAAGTCGAGCTTGAACTTCCGCTTCGGCCAGTCCTTGGAGCCGCCCTTCCCGAACATGTTCGCCTTGTCCCGCCGTCCCGACCCGCGTCTGCGGATCGTGACGCCGCCGTCGTAGAAGCGAACGACGCGCCCGGGTTCGTGATACGCGACCGAACACGGCACGGGGTCGTCCCGCTCGCTTCCCGCGACGTCGCTCGCGAAGACGAACAACGTCGGCAGCGTCGTCTCGCCGCCGATCGCCTCCGCGTCGACGACGGCGCCGTAGTGGTCTCCCTGCCTCGACGGCTTTCGCGCGTACATGCCGTCGAGTCCGCGCGCGACGATCCAGTATCGCACCATGCCGCCGCGCGTCGGAAGGTTGGACGCGGGTATCGCGCCCTCGAACGACGGCGCGGACGCGGACGCGGACGACGGCGACGGCGACGGCGCGCGCGTCATCGCGACGACGCGCGTTTCGTCGTCCCACATGACGCGGTAGTGCAGCTCCACGGTGGCGTACGACGCGTCGAACGCGTCGGACCAGCGCGCGAGGCGCGCGCCGCGCGAGGACGAGAACGCGTCCGAGAACCCGACGCGCGCGGCCACGCGGAGGTCTTCGCCGGCGCGCGCGGACGTCGGGCGCGTCGTCGTCCGCGCCTCGAACGTCGGCTCCTCGGCTCGCGCGACGACGAACGCGCACGACGCGGCGAGGACGAGGGCGAGGCGCGCGGCGAACATGAGACGAGCGCGCGAGGGAGTGGAGCGCGGGGAGAACGGCGCGAGCGGTCGTCGACGGCTCGCGGCTCGCAGCACGCTGCGCGCACGACCCTCGGAACGCGCCGTTCGTTCAGCTGTGGCGGAGGGTGGATACCTTTCAACAGCTCCGGTAACAGGGTGAATTTGGCGTTTGAAACCTACTGTGATAGCTAGACACCCCCGTTCAATCCTTTCAAGTGTCGCGCGAGCATGTCCCCAACCCTTCACACACACACACTCCCTCCGGCGCCGTCCCCGGTCCCCGTCGACGCGGCGTCGCCGTCGTCGCGATGGGCGCCAGCGGCGGCAAGCCCGCGGTCGAGTCCCCCCACGCGCGCGAACCGAAAGGCGACGACGCGCAGCCGTGCGCGGTGACGTCCGCCGCGAACGACGCGAGTCTCGACGCCGCCGTCGATTCGCTTCGGCGATGCGGCGTCGCGTGTCTCACCCTCGACGACGCGGCGTCGTCGACGCACGCGCGATGCTTCGACGTCGCGCGTCGCGCGCTCGACGCGTGCGCGACCGCCCCCGCGGACGACCCGCTCCGCGTGCGCGCGGACGCGGACACCGCGCACGTCACCGGGATGCACCCCGCGGGCGCGCTGTCGTCGTACAACGCCTGCCGCGAGGGGTTCGTCTTCAGCGACGGCGCGATGTTCAGCGTGCCCCCCGCGCGCGAGGACGCCGCGGAAGCCGCCGCGTTCGAAGACGCGATGAAAGCGCTGTTCGACGTCGCCCTCGGCGTCGCGACCGCGACGCTGCGCGCGATGGAGCGACGCATGGAGATCCCGGACGGATGGTTCGAGGATGCGTTCGGCCCGCTCGCGTCCAACGCGCAGTGGCACGTGAAGCGGTACCGACCGAAAGCGAGCCCGCCGCACGCGGTGTCCGTCGCCGGCGCGTCGAGAGCGTCGAGCGCGTCTTCCGCGGACAAGACCGTTCTGCTCCCGGTGCACACGGACCCGAGCCTCGTGTCCGTGGTGGTGCACGACGCGGCAGGCGTCGTCGCCGGCGCGAAGGGGTTGGAACACCTGTCGAGCGGCGACTCCGGGATTTGGACGGAGGTGCCGCTGCACGGGCACGGCGTCGCGTGCGTGCTCGTCGGGAGCGTGATGGATCGAATCACGAGCGGGGCGTACCCGGCGGCGCGGCACAGAGTCGCGGTCGTGGATCCGGAGGCGTTGGGGTTGGGACGCGTCGTCGCGACGTTTTTTTGGCGGCCGGCGCCGGGCGCGACGCTGCGACCGCCGCCGTCGCCGGTCATCCCGAGCTGCGCGAAGTTTAAAACGATGAAGTTCGGGACGTGGTGCAAGCGCACGGCGAAGCGGTACGAGACGCACGCGGAGCCGAAGCCGAGGGACAGGAAGAAAGGGAAGGGGGAGAGCGGAGGCGAAGGACGGAGACGCCGCGAACGAAAACGCGCGTCGGACCCGCCGGCGATTTCCCGCCGCGTCGACGCCGCAGACGACCGCCTCGCGCTCATCGGCGGGCCGCTGCTCGGGCGCGAGAAGTACCTCGGCGGACTCTTGGGCGACGACGCGCGAATTTACGCGATCCCCGGGTTCGCGCGAAGGGTGTTACGCATCGATCCGTCCGACGGCGCGGTCGAGTACGTGGGCCCGGAGTACCCCGGCGAGTTCAAGTGGTTACGCGCGGTGAAGGACCCGAAGACCGGGGCGCTGTACGGGCTCCCGTGCCACGCGGACGCGGTGTTGAAAATCGTCCCCGGGGACGCGCCGACGATCACGACGATCGGGGAGGGGAAATGCGGGACCGGGCCGTGGAAGTTCCACGGCGGGGTGTACTCCCCGCACGACGGATGCATCTATTGCATCCCGCAGTTCGCGGAGCGGGTGCTTAAGATCGATCCTTCCACGGACGAGTGCACGCTCATCGGCGGGCCGTTCCCGGGTAGAAACAAGTGGTACGGCGGGCTCATGGGTTTGGACGGGCGCATATACGGCGTGCCGCAGAACCACCGATCGGTTCTTCGAATCGACCCGATGAACGGCGGCGCGTGCGAGCTCTTCGGCGAGTACCCGGACGGCGGCTGGAAGTGGCACGGCGGCGCCGTCGGGCACGAGGGCAACATCTACGGCATCCCCGCGCACGCGGACACGGTGTTGAAGATCGTCCCCGGGGACGTCCCGGAGTTGACCGAAATCGGCGCCAACTTGCGGACGGGGAAACACAGGAGCGACGGGAAGTACAAGTACCTCGGCGGCGTCCTCGGCCGCGACCGGCGTTTGTATTTCATTCCCTCCGACGCAGACCACGTGTTGCAGATCGACACGGAGACGGACGTCGTTCGCGAGATCGGCGGGAGCTTAGAGGGCGAGCGGATCGTTCAGAACAAGTGGCAGAACGGGTTCGTGAGCGGCGACGGCGTGATTTGGGGCATCCCGTTGAAGTCCGAGACGGTGCTCACGGTGCGAACGTTTAGCGACCGCGCGGCGGAGCCAATCGTGGAAACCGTCGGCGGGCCTTTCGGGGGACTGAACAAGTGGGAGGGCGGCGTCATGAGCGCGGACGGACGGATGTACTGCATGCCTCTGAACCACAAAGAAGTGTTAGAGATTGACCCGGGGGAGTTGGGGAGAATGGGCGCGGGCGACGGCGGCGGCGGCGGTTCGACGGCGGCGGCGAAGACAGCCGGGCAGACGCACGATTAGACTAGTCTACTGTAGCGCGCGCGTTCGGGTCGTTTCGGTCGTCGTCACGCGTTCACGACGACACCACACACACAGAACGTCGTTCTCTTCGTCTCATCCTTCGTTCGCGCGCTTCCTTCTTCCTTCGTCACTCCGCTTTCGTGTACGCCTCCTTCGGTTTCTCGTCCTCCGTAAACAGCGGCGCGCCTTCCCTGCCTTCGCCGGCGGCGCCCTCCGCGGCGTCCGCGACGAACGCGAGGATGTCCGTGAGCGTGACGACGCCGCGCGGTCGACTCCGGCTCGCACACGTACACCCGATGCACGCCGTGCTCGACGATCTTGTTGAGAACCTCCTCGAACGCGTCCGTCGGTCGCGCGACGATGAGCAGCGGCCCGGACCGGCGGAACCCGCCCTCGGACATCTTCGCGAAGAACGGGTTATCCTTGGACGCGGAGACGGCGTGCGAGAACCCGGAGTAACTCGTGCCGTGGAGGAGCGCCAAAAATTCCGCGGTGGGCAAGCCGAGCATCCCGAAGTGCTCCGGTTGAATGCACCGCAGGTCCGACGCGCTCAAGTTCGCGATGAGCTCGTCGTCGTCGTCCACGACGCCGACCCCGGAGACGGGCTCCTCGCACATCTCCGCGAACGCCTCGATCGCGGGCGTCGTCGGCTTCACCGTGACCAAGCCGAGGGGCTTTTCTTTGCACAGCCCGAGCGTCTTGATCGACGTCTTTCCGATCCCGCCGAGCGCGTCCACCTTGCTCGTGAGGTACCTGACGACGTCGGACATGCTCACGACGCGCACGATCTCGCCACTCTCGTCGAAGATGGCGATCCGGTGCGTCACGCCGTGCGACGGCGAGTACTTCCCCAAGAATCCGTCCCGAATAGCCTCGAACAGCGTGCCGTACCGCGCGCTCGCCTGGTACATGAGCTCCGCGTCGTCGCCGAGGACTTGAATGAGCGTCTGCGTCGTGACCCTCTTCTCGATCGTCTCTAGGGTTTTCATCCACGACAGGACGTTGCGGCACGGCGGCCGCGGCTTCGCGCCGTCCGCGGCGTCGTCCGCGGGGAGCTGTCTCGCGAGCGCGCGCGACGCGTCGGCGACGTCGAAGAACCCCAGGAGCGTCGCGGGCTCGACGCGCGCGTCCGGGTCCGCGCCGTACGCCCTGCGATGGTTCATGCAGTCCGCGTCCAGGACGTCCGGTTGGATCATCACCGGCGCGGAGAGGATCCTGTGGCGGCTCAGCTTCGCGAGCGCGTCGCCGACGGTGTCGTTGTGGTTCAGAGTGACCACGCGCACCGCGTGCTTCCCGCCGCCGACGAAGCGCGCGCCGCCCGGGCCGCCGCCCGGGTGCCGCCGGTGCGGCGGGAGCGGGAGCGACGCGAGATCGTCGAGGACGACGTCGAAGTGGACGGAGAGGACGTCGCGGATCGCCGCGGACGCGGTGGACGGGAGGGACATCGCCGCGCGCGCGTTCGGTTCTGCCGTCGGCCGGCGTCGTTGCTCGAGCGCTCCGTTCTTTTCGCTCGCGTCGTCCGAGAAGGCACGAGAGGAAAAACTAAGACACCACAACGCGAGACCCGCGCGCGGCCGCCTCGCGGACGACCAACGCGAGGCGCGGGTCCGCTTCAAATCCCGCGGCGCGAAGAAGACGCAGACGCAGATGATGACGCGCGCGCGCGGTCGTCGTCGGCGACTCGGCGCCGACGCGGCGGCGGCGGCGATGGACGTGGACGTGGACGCCGCCGCGATGGGCGCGCGCGACGGCCATCACGGGGAGACCGCGACGTCGACGTCGACGTCGTGGGGCGACCTCCCGACGGACGCGCGAGCTCGCGTGATCAGCCACCTCGCACCGCACGACATGATCGTCGCGGCCGCGGCGGTGGGCGACCGCGTCGCCGAGCTCGCGGCGTCCATCGCGACGACGGAGACGCTGTTCGACGCCGAGATTCCGCTCCTCGCGCGGCGCATCTCGAAGGACGCCGTCGCGCTTTTGCCAGGGGAGACGTGGCTGTCGTGTTGGGCCGCGGTCTCCGCGGTGTTCCAAGGGATCGTCACCAAGCCCGGGGAGGCGCGCGCGGTCCCGGACCGAACGAGCCGTCGCCACCGACAAAACGCGGGCGCCAACGCCGCGGCGTTGTCCGTCGCTTTGGCATTTCTCTTTAGCGACGATGCGCGCGTCGCCGACGACAGCGGCGCGCGACAGACGGACTGGATCTCCTGGTTCGTGCCCGCGTACGCACATCACTTGATGAAGATCATGACCTCGGATTATGACGACTGGGAAAAGTCGGCGCGTGAACAGGAAGAGATATTGAAACAAGCGGCGGTGATGAAACAAGCGAAGTCGCGAGTCCGCGTCGTCGCGAGGCGGCTCGCGAGGGAAGGCCTCTTCGACGCCGCCGCGGAGATCCTCCTGAGCGCGCGCTTGCATCCCCTTTTCCCAAGCTTCATGCGCGACATGCGCGACGAGCGCGGCGACGACGACGCGGACCGCGTGGACATCTCGACGTACCTCGTCGATCGTCTGTACGCCAGCACGTACGTGAGAGACGACGGGGACGACGCCCGCGATTTGGTTTTGGCGACGGCGTTCAGCGCTCGAGCGGTGGCCAACGCGCAGTCGCGCATGCCCGGGTATAGTCCCGGGTATCCCGCCGGCAGTCCGAGAGAAAAAGAAAGAGAAAAAAGAAAGTTGAAAGAGCTCGGGCGCGCGCTGCGAGCGCACGCGCGCGCGCTCGCGCTCGCGGCGCAACACGTCGCGATCGGGGCGATGGACGAATACGAGTTCAAGCGAATGCCGTGGTCGCCGTTGGGCGTCTGGCCGGAATATCGCGACCCGGTCAGGTTCGGCGGCGACGACGCGGACGTAGTCCAGAATGAGAGGAAACTGAACGAGATACTCGGTCCTATCCTACGGATGGACGACGCCGCCATCGCGGAGAGAGTCGCGGCGGGACCGAACGAGGACGAAGACTCGGAAGACTTTGACGTTCGGCCGCTGTGTCGTGGACAAATTTTAGCCGAGCATTCCACGAGCGAAAGGCCGCGACAACATTTTGAGTGGGGGAGGTGGGAAACGCAGTACGTGCGATTTTACGAAGCGTCCGCCGCGGCGGCGAACGCGCGCCTCGCGTGGAAACTTGTGGGGGACGAGAGAGAAATCGCGATCGCCATCGCCGTGCAGGCTGAGGTGGCGTACTGCGAAGCGTGCGCTCAGGTTCGCGTCTACGGAGGAGTGCACGGGCATCAAACCTCGGCAGGCATCATCATCGTCTTGTTGACCGTCGCGACCGCGACGACGCTCTTTCGCAAGGCTTTGAGACGGTTCGAAGCCGCCGGCCTCGGCGATAGCGTCGACGCGGCGACGGCGACGAAAGATCTCGGGAAGACGCTGAGCTTCGCGGGGCATATTCTCGAGCAGCTCCAGCCGCGCGTCGCCGCGTTCGCGTTTCGACGCGATCCGACGGAATGGAACGCGTCAGAGGAAGCGAACCAGCTCTCGACGCGCGCGAAAACGTTGTTCGAGAACGCGCTCGGGGCGACGCATCCGATGACGCTGAACGCGCGGCGGCTCTGCGGCGAGAGCGTCGCCGAGGACGACGACCCGAACGTCAAGGCCGGGGACGTCGCGAGGGACATCGCCGCGAAGCAGATGTGTAATGGTCTCAAGCGGCGGGATCAACGCGGGGACGCGATCGACGGAGACGAGGAGGACGAGGTCGACGACGAAGACGATTATCATAGCGCGCACACGACGTCCTCGCCCGAAGCGAGCGACGACGAAGAGTAGTAGAAGAGACTGATGGATAGACTAGACTACCTACGTACTTTCGTACTAGACATCATACATAGAAAAAATTGCATCACGCCGCCATGACTTTGAGCGCGCTCTCGTGCGTCCTCTTGTCCCCCGTCGCGATCACCTCGCCTTGAAAATCCCCGCTCGCGAGCGCCTCCGCGCTCCCTTGCCACCTCAACTCCTCCCCTCGCCAGTCCGTGAACTCCCCGCCCGCGCCCTTCACGATCGGCACGAGCGCCATGTAATCGTACGGCTTCAAGTCCGCCTCGATCACCGCGTCGACGTGCCCGGACGCGAGTAATCCGTACGCGTAACAATCGCAGCCGTACATCGGCACCTTGCACGCCTTCGCGACGCGCTCGTACGGCGCAAGGTTATCCCCCTCGAACATCAGCGGCGTCGTGGAGTACACGTACGCGTCTTCTATGGACGCGCACGGCCTCACCGCGATCGGCGCTCCGTTGAACGTCGACGCCTGCCCTTGCACGCCGACCCATCGCTCCTTCAACACCGGCTGATCGAGCACCCCGAGCACGGGGACGCCGTCTTTCAACAGCGCGACGAGCGTCCCCCACAGCGGCTTCCCCGTGATGAAGCTCTTCGTGCCGTCGATCGGGTCGAACACCCACGTCCACTCGCTCTCGCCGCCGTCGCCGAGCTCGATGCCCTCCTCCTCGCCGAAGATGGCGTGCGACGGGAAGTTCGCCCTCACCATCGCTCGCATCGCCGCCTCCGCGCTTCGGTCCGCGATCGTCACCGGGCTGTCGTCCGTCTTGTCGTCGATCTCGAGCGGCGTGCGGAAGTACTTCGTCGTGATCGCGCCCGCGGCGTCGACGAGGTTTCTCGCGAGCGTGACGTACTCGCTCGGCACGGCGACGGGCGACGGGGAGGCTGCGGACGACGACGACGACGACGACGACGACGCCCCGAGCGGCGCGACGGCGGCGGCGCGTCGCCCGCGGACGTTGTTCCGCGCGCGATGGGGTGCGAACGAGGGCGTCGCCACGCGCGCGAGCGCGCGGGTCGGGGTCGCCATGGACGCGAGCTGGAGCGCGCGCGCGTCGATGTGAGGCGCGTGGTAGCGCGTCCCCGAGAGGGAAAACCGCGTCGACGCGACGGGTCGCACGCGGCGCGGCGTGGTCGGGAAAACCCAGGACGAGCTAGACGAGGCCGCGGATCTCGGCAGTCTTCCACGCGCCGGCACGATGGACACGAACAGGCTCGCGAAGGAGTTAAAGGAGATCCAGGCGGACACGACCTCGGGGGTCACCGTCCGCGTCCTGGGGGATAACATGGCGCACATGCAGGGCACGATCCTGGGTGCGTCCCCGACGATCCGACGCCCTCTCGGCGTCCTCTTTCCTTCTTCGCGATTTCATTTCGATCGCTCGTCGCTCGCCGCCGCGTCCCTCGTCGCTCATCGCCTATCCCTCCACTCCAACTCGTCAAACCCGCAGGCCCCGAGGAGTCGCCGTACCAGGGCGGGAAGTTCGTCGTGGACATCCAGCTCACGAACGCGTACCCGTTCGAACCGCCGAAGATGCGGTTCATCACGAAAGTGTGGCACCCGAACGTGTCGTCCGCGAACGGGGCCATCTGCCTCGACATCCTGAAAGAGCAGTGGTGAGCGAGAGGGGGGGTTTCTCCGTCGATTCAGCCCTTTCCTTCCTCCTTCCTTCCGTTCCCCGCCTCGAGTCTCCGTCCCTCGCTTTCGTCGGTCGGCGCGGCGCGTCGTCAGCCCCGCAGAAGTCGCGCGTTCGCGCTCGGTTGACTCTGACGTCGTCCGTCTTGTTTTTACCTTCGTCTCAGGTCGCCCGCGTTGTCTATCAAGACCGCGATGTTATCCCTGCAAGCGCTGTTGTCCTCACCGGAACCGAGCGACCCGCAAGACGCGGTCGTCGCGAGGCAGTACCTGGACGACATCGCGCTGTTCAACGCGACGGCGAAGGCGTGGACGGAGGAGCACGCCAAGGACGGCGCCAAGGATGAAAAGATGGAGAAGTTCAAAGAGATGGGATTCCCGGAGGTTGACATCGTCAACGCGCTCGCGCGAGCCGCGGGGGACGAGGCGCAGGCGTTGGAGTTGCTGCTCACGGGGTTATGACGCGACGGGGAGGGACGGGCGGCGGCTTTCGCGGCGGCGCGGAGGGGGCTCGCGCGTCGCTATTAGCTCACTAGGGATAACGACAGAGAACCGACCGCCTGATACCTGACGCTCGACCGTTCGTGCCTCGCGCGTTCCACGAGCGTGCGCGCGACCCCGTTTCGTCGGTCGACGCTCGTCTCGGACGCCTCGCGCGCACACCACACAAACCACCACGCGATGACGCGTCGCTCGCTCGCGTTCGCGGTCGCCGCGCTCGCCGCCTTCGTCGCCCTCGCGACGCCCGCGCGCGCGGCGCCGCTCGCCGTCGGCCGCGGCGCGCGCGAGACGAGCGCGCGCGAGACGCGCGCGACCAGAGCCTCGGACGTCCTCCCGAGGTCGTCCCCTTCCTCGGCCGCGTCTCGCGACGCGGCGTCCGCGACGACGACGACGACGGCGACGACGACGACCGCGCGCGAGTCCGAGCGCGTTCCCGCGCTCGCGCCCGAGCTCGTCGTCGACGGCGGCGAGCTCACCATCTCCGCCGCGGATGAGGACCTACACCGCCTCCGCATACGACGGCGGAAGCGCCGCGAACAGAACCTACCCGACGTCTTCGTAACACCACCGCGCGCCACCTTCTTCCAACACGTCGGACAGCACCTCCCCCCCGACGACGTCCCCCCCGGACAGCCCCTGCTGAATCCCCGTCAGCTTGATTTGGCAGCCGACGACCGGGGTCGTCGTCTCCGCCTCCGCCGCGGGAACCGCCGCCGCCGCCGCCGCCGCCGCGGAAGCCCTCGCGGCCGAGACGGAAACGACGACCCCGGTCGTCCGCTTCAACATCACGCTCACGGGGATCCCGCCGGGCACGTCCGGGGAGATCGTCGCTAGGGTCGCGGTGATGTCCGTCCCGCCCGAAGAAGGCGACCCGCGGTGGTATTACGAAATCGTTTGGTACGAACTCTCCGCGACGGTTCCGACGTTTTACGCGGGGGCGGAGTACGTCACCATACGCGAAGGTCTCGCCCTCGATTTGACCGAGGCGGAGATCGAGCAGAACATCGACGACCTCACGCAGGGAGAGGCGATCTTTTTCCCGTGCACGAACTTCATCGGCGCCGTGTTTTGCGAAGAAAACGGAGTCTCGTTTTGAGGGAGGACGCGATCCGCGTGTACATAAATATCCTATCCGTCTACTCGCTCGGTCCTCTTCGCGGGCGTCCCCTCGGCGCGGCTCGCGGCGGCGCGGACGACGCGCCCCCCTTCGCCGCCGCCGCCCCCTTCGCCGCGGCTCTCGCGGACGCGGCGGCTCTCCGAGCGGCGCGTCGCTTCGTCGCCTCCGGATCCGCCGGCTCCGCGGCTTCCCTTCTCGCGGGCAAATCGTCGCGCCGCGCGCCGCCGCCGCCGCCTCTCCCCGCTCCTCTCCCCCCGTTCGCGCCGCGGGCGCCGCCGACGCCGCGCCCGCCGCGGAACGTCTCGTGGCTTCCGATCGCCGCCCTCACGCCGTTCGCGGCCAGGTGCGCGGCTAAACGCTCGCTCTTCCCCGCGCCTTCGCCGACGTCTGTCGGCACGGGAATCGCCGGCGGTTTCGCCGCGCCGCCGCCGACGAGCGCGTCTCGGATGACGGCCAGAAACGGGCTCGGGTCCGGGTACGTCGTGAGGCCGAACCGCGTGCGCTTCGCGGAGCGGCAGAGGAATAGCTTCCGCTTCGCGCGCGTGATGCCGACGTAGAACAGACGCACTTCTTCGTCCATCTCCTCGCGTCCGTCCTTCTGGAAACTCTCCATCGGAATCAGCTTATCCTCGCATCCCGTGATGAACACGGTGTCGAATTCCAAGCCTTTCGCCACGTGCATCGTCATGAGCTTCACCGCGTCCGCCTGCGCGTCCTCGGACCGCGTCTCTGCGGACATCAGGAGCGCGACGCCTTCGAGGAAGTCCATCAGGCCTTTCTCGCCCGTCGCCGGGGTCGCGGGCGCCGTCGCGTCGTCCTCAGGTTCCAGCGAGTCCATCCCGTCGGTCGCGCTCGGTTCGTTCGCGATCGAGATGAGCTCTTTGATGAACCCCCAGCGCTCGTCGCCGTTCTCTTGATCGATGAGGTACTCCTTGAACCCGGTCGACTTCACGACAGCCTCGATCAGCTCACCGGGCGTGGACCCTTCCATGACGACTTCCAAATCCCGCATCAGACGGCAAAAGTTTGACACCGACTTGTGCGCGGCGGCGCCGAGGCCCATCTCCTTCGCGGACGGCAAGACGTCGTCCTCCTCCAACCCCTGGTCCGGGTTCGCCCACGTTCGTCTGAGGAGCGCCGCGCCGAGGGGCTGCGGCATCCCATCGTCCCACGGCAAGCTGTCGCTCCACGTCGTCAACTTCTCGAGCGTGCCGGGTCCGATCTTCCGCGGCGGCGTGTTGATGATCCGCGCGAGGCTGACGCTGTCCCGCGGGTTCAGCAACACCCTCAAGTACGCGACCGCGTCCTTGATCTCTTTCCTCGTGTAAAACGCGGTGTCGCCGATGACGACGTGCGGCACCCCCGCGCGAACGAACGCCTCCTCGAGCGGCCGCGACTGATGATGCGTGCGGTACAACACCGCGATTTCCTTCAGCGGGACGCCGTCGCGGGCGGCGCGCGCCGCCTCTCGCGCGGCGAACTCCGCCTCCTCGACCTCGTCCTCGGTCGCGACGACGGCGACGTCTTTACCCCCCGGCTGCACCGCGTCGAGCTCGAGCGGCGAGCGCGAGAGGCTCTCGCCGATCACCGCCCGCGCGGCTTTCACGATGGTCGCCGTGGACCTGTAATTTTTCGTCAACATCACGGTGTCCGCGCCGAAGAAATCGTCGTCAAACTTGGTGCGGATGTTCGCCACCTCCGCGCCGCGCCAGCTGTAAATGGCCTGGTCGACGTCGCCGACGACGAACACCTGCCCTCGCGGCAGCGCGAGCTCGCGAATGAGCTCGTACTGCGACAGGGACGTGTCCTGGAACTCGTCCACGAGAACGTGCCTCCACCGCTGTTGGTAGTGCTGCCGCACCGGTCCGCTGGATTTCAGCAGCGCGACGGTCGCGGAGAGCAAGTCGTCGAAGTCGAGCGCGTTCGACGCCCTCAGGTTCGCCTCGTACTCGTCGTACACCGCCGCGAAGTGATTCTTCACGCCCGGGTCGAACTTTAAGTTTGGCCGCGCGTCGACGAGCGCGCGTACCATTCTCGAGCCGGGGACACCGACGCAGTGATCGACCGCGGACTTCGCGGCGGATATCCTCCCTTTCACCATCCCGGCGTCGACTTTCTTCTTTTCCTCTTTGAACTTCTCGACGAGAATCTTACGCAGCAGCGCTTTCGTGTCCGTCTCGTCGTAGATCACGAAGTCGTTTCCTCTTCCGTAGTTTTCGAGCGCGTGGACGTCCTTCCGAAGCATCCGCGCCGCGACGGAATGGAACGTCCCCGCGGTGATCGCCTTGGCGTTCTCTACGCCCACGTTCGCGACCAACCGCTCCTTCATCTCCTTCGCAGCCTTGTTCGTGAACGTGATGCACAAGATCTGAGGGCCGTTCCATACAAGCCAATGTCGGGGTGGAGTTCAAAGGCGTCAGGTGGAGTTGAAAGGCAACGCGGGCGGGGATTGAAAGCGAGGGATGGGCGGAGAGATGCGCCGGGAAAAGTCCTTAAGGATCGGCGTTCACCACGCCAACGCGGTCGTATGGGGACCAGTGTATAGAACGCACCTGACTCGGCGGGACGCCGAGCTCGTTGATGAGGTGCGTCACGCGTCCAACGAGCACGCGCGTCTTTCCCGACCCGGGCCCCGCGAGGACCTTCATCGGCGCCGCGATCGGGGCCAAGATGGCCGCGCGCTGCTCGTCGTTCATCCCCTCGAGGTGGCTCTGGTCCCCTCGTTGCGGCGGCGTCGTCGGAGTCAAAGGCTGCTGTCGCGGCGGCGGTCCTCGAACCGGCGTCGTCTGATGTTGAGGCGGGATCGGGATCTGAGGCGACCGCCGCGTGAAGTCCGCGGGCGCGCCCGCGCCCGGGGCGATCGCGGTCCTCTGCCCAATCCATCGCGTCTGCCCGCGCTGGTCGTTACCCCGCGCGCTCGAGCCGCCGCCCGGCGTCGGCGCCGCGCCGAGCGCCGCGCGCGCGAGGCACCGCCCGCTCGCGATCGACGCGAGATCTGCGCTTCTTCGCGCGTTCGAAGCGAGCGCGGTGACGCGGCGCGCGACGCGCGCGCGCATGACGGGAACGACTCTTCCCGCGCGATGACTCGCTCGCCCACCGCGCGTGTCGCGTCCCGGGGCCGCGACGTGGGACGCGCGGGCGGGTCCCGCGAGCATCGACGCGCGATCGTGCGTGTGGGAGCCTCCCGCGTTTTTTGAGTTGTTCCAGTCGCGGCGGTTTTTTTCCCGCTCGAAAAAAATTCGGCACCTCGTGGCGCCTTCTCCGGGGCGTGTCGCCGCGCGCGCCGCGCCTCGAACAGTCGACGATCGTGCTATATGTAACAATCCTACGACGAATGCGCTAAGACAGACGCTCCTCCGCGTCCAAAAAATAAATCAACCCCAATAAATCAACTCACAACTCACCCCCCCCACCCTCCGCCCGCCTCGGCTCACGACGCGAAGATGAGCGTGTACTGCGCCAACCCGACGAGCGCCCCGAGGACGCCGCCGACGAAGATGAGCTTGATCTCGTCCTCTTCGAACACCGGATGTAACACCCCCTCGAACTCCGCGGGCGGGAGCACCCGCATCGCCTCTCTCACGGTGTCCTCGATGAGGAGCACCTCGTCCTGGTAGTCGTACGAGATGGGCAGTATCGACGGCAGCTGCTTGACGAGGCCGTCGGCGACGCCGCCGCGCACGCGTTCGAAGGTCTCCTTCCCGAATAACGTCTTCGCGACCATCGCGCCGGAGCCGCCGACGGTGCGATCGAAGAACGTCGTCGCGTGCTTCTTGATCATCGCGTTGAACTGCTCTTTCTTCGCGCCGTGCATCATCTCGTCCCAGATGTTGTGGGCGTTGCAAAACAGCTCCGCGTTGAGCGCGGCGAATTTTTCGCTGACGGCTTCTTGCCGCTTCAGAAACGCGCCCTGAATCACGAAGGCGCCGCAGCACACCGGCGTCGGCTCGATCGGCCTGAATATCAGCTTCAGCGCGACCCAGTTCGTGAGCCACCCGACCATGAACCCGAACACCGGGAGTAACGGCCCGCTGTACTCGGGTTCGTACACGTCGACGATGTAGAATATGATCATCTGAAACACGCCGAATATGAAGCCAAAGTATCCGCCGCTGCGTTCGATGATGACAAACTCCTTGTCGCCGACCTCTCTGAACATTTTCACGACGAGGGCTTTGTTCGCCTCCGCGAGCCCGACGGTCATGGACTTGATGTCTAGAACCTGTTTCGTACGCGGTCGTCGAGCACAGATGGGGTGGAGGTGGGAGTGCGCGAGGTGAGTCGGTCGCCGCGTGGTCCACCGCGGCGGGTCGGGACGACTGGACGCGCCTCGCGAGAAAAAAAAACAAAACGACACCGGCTCGACGCGCGCGTTCGACTCGACGCCCGCGCACCTCGTAAATGTTCTCGATCAAGTCCTGCGTGAGCCCCTCTAAGAACTCCGGCACACCCCCCATGACCTCCAGCACGATGTCCTGCTGCACCGCGTTCGGGAGCGACTTCCATACGAACGGCGCCTCGGCGTTCATGATGTCGCTGAAGATGGTGTACGTGCTCGCCTTCACCGCGGGCGCGAGGACTTCCGCGAAGTCGTGCGGGACGATCCTCCCGAACATCTCCGCGACGTCGATCAGCTTCGTCGTCATCAAGTCCGTGAGAATGCCCGCCATCTTCCCGGCTTTGCTCGGGATGATCCCTTGCCACCCGCCGAGGAGCCCGAACGGCTGCCCGGGCACCTGCGCGAACTTGAGAAAGCTCGGGAAAAACTCGAGCGGGTAGAACGTCATCTGCAGCGCGACGATGTTCGTGGCGTATCCGACGATCGCGGACATGAACGGGATGATCAGATACAGCGCGATGTGCGTGTCCGTGCCGCTGGATTCTTCCAGCATCCTGCGCGCGCTCGAGTCGAACGCGAACGCGTCGTCGTCGTCGTCGCGCGATTTCCACCACCGCGCGGATATTCGGCCGGTCCCCCCCGTCGCGACGGCTCGCGTCGCGCTCGACGCGAAGACGCACGCGGTCGCGACGAGCGTCGCGAGGAGGACGCGATCGCCGGGGGTAAGGATCGGCGTCCGCCGCCGCCGGCGGCGGGCGCGGTCGTCCCCCAAGCCGGCGCGACGCGACATGGCGGACCGCGATCGCGCGGGACGGTGGACCCCCGCAACGCAACGCTGCAGAGAGGCGCGAAGCGCGTCCGAGCGACCTATCAAAACGCCTGCAGTTGACAGGTGGACTTTCGTCACTCTCCTGTCACTCTCGAGGTCTGGAGCGCGCTCTTGAAACCGAGCCCGGGGTCTGGTTGAAACCGCGTCTTTTCGCGACCGACCGGTGCCACGCAAGCACGAAGAAAAGGCGCGAAGCCACTTCTTTTGTCTGACCGAACGCGCTTTTCGCGCGGGACTTCGCCGCCGCGCGGACGCGACGCGCGCGCGGGAGATCGGTCGACGCCGTCGAGTCGTCGGCCATGGGCGGGTTCAAACCGTCCGGCGCGAAGGCGTCGAGTCCGCGGCCGCCCTCGTCCGCGGGCGAAGAGCGGAAATCGATCGTCGCCGCGGGCAAAGTGCTCTTCGCCGCGGTCTTGCCTCCGAAGGACGCGGACGCGGAGGACGCGAGGTTCGTCCCGGCGCCTCGCGCGACGCTCCCGCGCTCGGCAATTTTGGGTTCTTCGCGACCATCTTCGCGCGTTCGCGAACGCGCGCGTCGTCGCGTCGGTCGCGCGGCGCGCACGACGCGGTCTCCGCGCGCGGAATCTCGCGCGGCATCCATTTCACATCTAGACGTTCCCGCCCGTCCACCTGTCCGTCTCTACGTCTTCCCGCCTAACATCCGTCCCGTCGCCTCCCTCCCCCGCGCTCCCAGCGTCGCGGTCAAGTCCGCGCTCGCGACCGCGCCGGCGCACTACGCCGTCCTCGAGCGCGAGTGCGGTGCGATCGTCTACGTCGGCGCCGGGACCCCGCGCGCGTCCGCGTCGGGCCCCGCGCACGCGCCGCAGGTTTTCGCGACCGACGAACTCGTCGTCGTCCTCGTCTCCTCGACGCTCGACGCGCCGCGCGTCGCGCGCGCGTTCAGAGACGCGCGCGAGGGCGACGACGAGCCGCGCGCGCGCGCGGTCGCGCTGAAGCTCGCCGTCCGCGCGCTCAGCGACGAGTCGCACAGGTTCTCGTTCGTCGTGCTCGACCTCGCGAGCGGGCGGGTGTTCGCCGCGTCGACGGCGCACTCCGCGCCGCTCGCGCTGGGGCACGCGCACGACGGTGCGCGCCTCGCCTCGCGCGAGATATTTTTTGATATTTCTTGCCGCCCGCTCGTCCAAGCTCGTCGCTCCGCTCGAGCTCGACCGACGTCTCGTTCCCCCCGCCCGCGCGTCGCTCCTCGACAGGCACGCTCGTGGTGACGTGCACGCGGTCTGGCGCGAGGGCGGCGACGTCGTGGCCGCCGAAGTGGTCGCACGCGGCGCCAA